ATCTTTATCACCAATGATATCACTATATCTGTCTTCAACACAACGTCATTAATGATGGTACAGTTAATACATCATGAACTCCTACAGCCGCAAACAACGCAGCGTCTGTGGTAGTGTCTTCCTCGTGTTCTCTAACATGTTAATTCTGGCCAGAGACTATCAGGAAATCTGGCGACCCAAATGGTCACATCCTCTGTGTTTAACCTTAAGCTAGCTTTTAGAATTCTCAACCCACTTGGGCAGCGGCTGCAGAATTTCCTGATACTGAAAGAGTTAACAGTAGCATCTTTAAAATAACCTTAATCATACAATTAACATGATGAAGATTAGTTTCTTCAGTAGACAGTTAATCACACCTTTAACTTCATTCAACACATGATTAATGATCTTACCTTTAGTACAACATTACTCAGTCTGTTATCTTCAACACAGCATCATTAAGGATATCATTATATTGAGTACAACATTACTCAGTCTGTTATCTTCAACACAGCATCATTAAGGATATCATTATATTGAGTACAACATTACTCAGTCTGTTATCTTCAACACAGCATCATTAAGGATATCATTATATTGAGTACAACATTACTCAGTCTGTTATCTTCAACACAGCATCATTAAGGATATCATTATATTGAGTACAACATTACTCAGTCTGTTATCTTCAACACAGCATCATTAAGGATATCATTATATTGAGTACAACATTACTCATTCTGTTATCTTCAACACAGCATCATTAAGGATATCATTATATTGAGTACAACATTACTCATTCTGTTATCTTCAACACAGCATCATTAAGGATATCATTATATTGAGTACAACATTACTCACATCAGTATTTTTTTAACATCAAATGATTAAAAATATATTGCAATTATCTTTTGCATCACATCATTAATGATACCAATAACGTTAACACAAAAAATTGAGATATTATCTTCAACTTAACATCATTAAAGACCTTATTACTCTTAGCCATCATTATTCATACCATTATCTTCAATATAAATACACAAACACACAACATCTGAATAAACACTTTTCAAATAGTGACTTTTTCCTCATTGCTGTAATCTCTTAACCCTACTGCTCTGAAAGGGCTACATTTGCAAAAACTAGTCCCTTCCTGTTGTGACATTTTCTCAAAAAGCGTAGTTAAATACTGGTTGTAAATGCACTTGCAATGTGTTTAAGAGGCCTGGAGATGATCTAAATACGGCATTCAGAGAAGTCTCCATTCTGCATTTCTACACATATATACATACATACACACTCACATATGCAGACACACTGGTTATGGAGCTTGTGTGTGTGTATATATATATAATAAATATAAAAGAATATTGACAGAATTTACAGACAGGAAAACACTGAAAAACGAAGCCATTCTATGACAGAATATGAGGAACGAATGTCACCACTAGCACAAGCACCCCGAAACCAGCAAAACATATCCATGTTTGCCAGGAAGCAAGTAAGTAAAGTAAATGCTGACACAGAAGAAAGTGGTAGGAGGCGACCAACACAAAGGTGGACAAAGGACATTCACAGAGATTTGTCTATACTGAACCATTGTAAAATGCCTGTAGCTAGCAGTTTTTTCCTTCAGGCAGTGTAGGAATGGGGGCAGTGAGGCTGATGATTTAGAGCTGCACAATTAGCCCAGCCGTCATGAACTGCGCAGGTAAGGATGTTTATTTCTGATCCTGAAAGAAACAGCTTCCGTCAACGTAACCAAAGATTGAGACCCAAGTCTCTCTCATAACTGGCCAATATTTTACTCATTTGGCCAGCATGAGAACAAAATATTAAGATGTGGAAAAGCAAATGGAAAGAGACCAAAGATATACCCAGCATGCCATGATGGGAGCTCCCTTTACTGTGCAAGTCTTGAATAATTGCAGGAGGTGCAGATACAACAGCAATTATATATATCAGGCTGTGATATAGCTAGAGAAAAGTAACAAGAACGAGTAAATGAAATGCTTAGGTGTCAGTAAAACATCCAAGTGCATATATCAAGAATTCAACCAATTCACACACGGTAATACATCATTATGTGACTTGCTGATAAGCATGGGCGGTCATGTTTCGCCACCTTACATGATCAACATAATCACAGATCAAGTCAATGCTCTTGTCATACCCTCCATTCATAGGACCCAGCAATCTGAGAGTATACCTATCTGCTCTTTTTTTCAGCAATCCTACCAGTCATTCCTAAGTTCTTGAGTCTATCCCTTCTCACACATTACAAGTCCAAAACACTTTACCTGCCGATAATTTGCCACACAATTTTGACATATTTTTAAGCACAGTGCATTTTTGACACACAAATTCTTTTATAATTTTTGGCAAGGTCAGAAAGAACACCAAGAAAAATTGGTCTACAGATTTTTAAATATTTCTTATCTCATCAGAAGATGATCAACATAATTTCTCAAATATTTCAATATAAAACAATGCTTTTCTGGAGTTTCAACTGAACATTAATTATGCAGACTAAACTATGGAATGGCAAATATCCAATCACCACGTGCTGTAGAACTGACACAACAAGACAACATGTTAAACCTAGCCTCATACTGGCAAAAACAAATATAAATGAAATACAAATTAAAATATACTGACAATTTTCTCTCTCATCTTGTTCCTTCTGTATCTAGTGGTGTTAACAGAAGAACAAACAGCATGCCTGCTTTGCACATGGACAATTACAGGACTTTTTAAAAATTCCTTCTGTCTGTTTTTGCATGGTCTGTCTCTCATTGCAGTTAATTTGTAGATTATAGCTTTTTGTGGTATAGGGTGGTGGCCGCAAGTTGAATAGCCAAACCATTTCACTTGTTTTGAAATGAAATACAGTGCTGCAATTATCGCCATAATCTTAAGGATAAAAAAAATTTGTTTAAATCTTTTCCTCTACAAATGTTAATTGCTATTTTCAGGAATCTCCTCACAGCTGTTGTAATTTTTGTTGTTCTTCTTTTGTCAAGTCTGGCACGTGTAGGAGGCAAATTGTCATAAGGAACAAGATAAATACTACTACTAAATGCAGAAAATAACGATGAATTGAGCGTTCATGCTTGAACCCTCGTAAAGTGTTATTTCTCTATGTACTCCATGAACAACTATGGTATTTCTTACAGTATGACCAAAAAAGTGATTAATAATGCCATATGATGTCAAATTCCAATATCTCTACTAGCATAACTTATGTAACGAACTGACAGTATAAGTATCAACAATTCAAACGTGTGTTACTAAAAAATGTGACTTCAACAACAGCAAATCAACAAACCACAAGAGATTACATTTGTGGCTGATAACACAAGTAACAAGTGATAATATAAACATCAAGTATCCATCATCAGAAACTGCACCATTAGTGTCAATGATGAAATGATCACGGCTGTAACACAGTGTCTGTATACAGGGTTTTGTTCATTTGGGTCTCAGGACCCCATTTTGAGGTAAATAGAACCCCTAACAAGTATGTCATAAAACAGGGTTGTTCAACTGGTAGCCCACGGAGGCCTGGCAAGTGGCCCACTGGTCAGTGGCATTTGTATTGTTTCAACTATCTGTCTATGCTAGGGGTCGGGTGACAAACTCCATTTTGAAAATGTTGGCCCTTGAGGAAATCTTCTTCTTCTTCTTCGCGTTCACCAGCTGTACACTCTGGCGGAAGGTTCTGGTTGCTCGCCCACTAGTGAACTGCAGTCCTGCTCCATAAGCTGAGTGTTGCGTGTGCATCAGTTTTACAGATCTCATTCTCTTGAATACAGACTGTTGGTTCCTTGCCTCTCCGGCAGATGCACTCTGACTTCAAAGGAAGCTTCCCAATTAGTCGACTTTTACGACATGCTTTTGAAGAGGCAGTGGGTCTATTCTTGTTTCCCCACAATGGGGCCCCGGAACCCACATGGGGGATCCCTTGAGTAAATGAATAACCCTGTCATAAAACCTGACTAATTAGAAGTATTTTCTTGGCAGTTGGAGTGCATCTGAGAGGCGAGGAAATAACAGTCTGCATACAAATAAAAAAAACCCAGCGAGAATCGACAAACAGGCATTAAAATAGGGGAAAAAAAGGGATTAGGGAGGCAAGGACACACAAAAGAAACCCTAAGACAAACTTTGATGAAAGAGGCCAAAGTTGCAGGACTGGATTCCATCCATGATAGTGAAATGATTGCACAGGATAAAAAAGAATGGAGGAGTAGACTGCGAGCCCTATGTGACATACAATGGCACAACAGGATAATGAATACAATTCAGCCAGATCTGTAAAGTAGAAGTGCTCGCAAAAGTCAAGTTCTGGAACAAGGCCAATGTCCAGAAGTGGCCAAACAACCAGATCTTTTCACTGGAGTTTACATCCAGTAAACACGGAGAAAAAGAAGATATACGGCTATAGTGTTCTCAGAAAGTCAGACAAGTATTTTCTACTCTTGGGTACAGAAGATGTCTTGCAGCTAGCTGCATTTTTTTTTTCTGGCCTTCACCACCCGCCCCCAGCATTATTGGCTGTTGTGTGGCTACGACTAGGCAATTTTACATTCAGACGTTGGCATTGCCATTTGAAAAACTGAAGTTCATCTGTCAAAATCAATTCAGAGTCGCTACCAAATCGCCTGCAGTTGAATCTGAACCTCAGCACAACTATGACACTGAATTTGTTAGAGTGAAATGCACAAATATCACAGCCTAGCTGCAAAACCACAATACAATGTGCCAACAGCATTTTAAGGCCAAATGGAGAAGAAGAAAAATATCAGAAAATACTTTAGCCTATACCAAAACAGCCAATTCTGCAACTAACAGAGATCTCAACCACCAACAACTATTCTGGAAAGTAAATGAACTAACCACAATTCATCTTGGACCTGACTGGAAAACAAAAACTAAATAGAAGTGTCTGAAGTCATAATGTGGCATAAACTATCTAAGATACAGTAACAGACTGGGGGAGGGAGGATGTCACGGACTTAACCCCAAGGCCCATCATCACTGTAATCCAAAACAGAGCTATCAAAGTTATGCTGCTCCTCTTCCAGAACATTCCTGCTATTAGCTTCTTGAGCTAGAAGTGTGCTGCTGCTGCCGCTGTACCCGGCACTGCTGGCGTACGGAGGTGGTGTTGGTGAGATCACATTAGACAGTGTCACTGTGATATGATCCTCGTCATCATCGTCGGTATAGCTGGCCTTAAAATGTTCTTCGCCAGTGGCCAGTAAATCTTCACTCAAGCTGCGCTCAAAGACCAGCTTTGATGCTTGAGGTGCCTGGTTATCCTCGGTGGTGAGTGGGCTTTGCTCCTCGAACACGCTGAGATCTTTATCTTGTTCTTGAGTTGTTACAGATGTCAACAGCGAAGAAGAGACTTCTTCAGGTTTGTCTTCTCCGGCTGCATCCTGAAGAGAGTCTTCATTCAGGGAACCCAGTGTGATTGCCAACTAAGGAAAAAAATACAGGTCTCTTTTAGTTTATCTATACAACAAGAATTGTATTCTAAAATTATTTCAGCTAATTAGTAAAGAGGAAAAAGGGGGGGGGGGGGCGGGCTAAGGTAATTTTATATACAATAATCAGAGGTTTCAAACCCAAGAGGGAGTCCCATTTTGAGGGTTGAAAAAAAAATAGATCTGGTGTCCCCCATCAAGCACGTCATGTGACTAATTAAAAGTTTGCTGACACTGGAACTGTTAGGCAAATGTTAACCACAACACAACTTGCCAAACACCATATAAACTCTTTGGGTACCAAGGAGTGCACCACGATTTGATTTATAACTAATTTAACTGTCCCGTGGTAAAGAAAGAGTTAAAAGCAAACACAGAAGAAGAAGAAGAAAGTAACTAAAGACTCAGGCAAACACTTGGCCACTGCAGTTCGTGGCTCTAATTTTAGCCAAACCAACAATTTCTGAGTCCTTTTTCTTTAACGATGTTTGGCAATTCCCATGTTCTGGGTTTTTTTTTTTAAATTTCAAAAGGGTTCTGTGGCTAGGTTTTTTTAGGCGCTGCTGCAATGGATTTAGAAAAATTACCTGTCTTTAACAAAGAATAATAAGTTTTTCATAATGGGACAATACTGTATTCTTGCTCCTACAGTCACATGTTCCTTACTGAAAAAAATGAACAATTTGTGGCCAGGGCTTTCCTGGTAAAAAGCTATACACACATATATTTTTACAGCAGTTGCCTTTTTGGCCATTTGCTTGTAAAACTTTCTGGGACTGAAACAGCTGAGCAATTTTAGAAATAAAACATTTATCATCAGTTTAAAAAGTCAATTTAAAAAAAAAATTTACTGTTACCATAAGTTTATTCTTCTTCGTCTTTGCGTTCACCAGTTGTAACCTCCAACTAATAGTTCTGGTTGTTTGTCCATCTCCGGACTTTAGTTGTGTTCCACAACTAGAGTGTTGTGTGCACATCTGTTTTATAGATCTGGCTTATTTGTGTGCAGATTGTTGGTTCTTTGCCTCTGAGGCAGAAGCACTCAGACTTTGAAGGCAGCCCTCAATTAGTCGACTCATAAGACAAGCTATTGGGAAGGCTTGGGTCTACTCTTGTTCTCCCCACAATGCTGTTCCCATGGAAACCCATACAGGGACATTAATTTATGAACAAGTCTTCATTTAGCAAAACAATGTCACTATCAGCTGAAGCATTATATATTATCTTCGTTGCACTACATAATATGTATTTCTTAAAAAGTTTTCTGTTCAGGTCATAATAAATCAGCTACATAATTCAACCTGAATTATTTCTTTGAGAATGTGTAGTTTTTGCACATTTTCTTATTTTGATTTTAGTCTAAACAAAACTTTATATCTTCTTTCATCTCAAATGAAAATGCACACTCAGTTCAAACAGGATACTGCAGTCAAATGGGATACTGCACACAGTAAAATAGGATACTGCAGTCAAATGGGATATTGGAAACAGTTACGATATTGCTGTCAGATGGGATAATGCATATAAGATTGGATATATTGCAGTCATATGGGATACTGCAGTCAGTTTGGATAGTGCTGTAAGCTGAGATATTGCTATCAGTAGGGATGGTAGTGAAGTTTTATTTTTTGTGTTTTTACTTACGAAATTGTAACAGCTAGATGAAAATTAAAATTACAAATCCAATGGTACCTTATTTAAGCCTGTAAGTCGATTCTAAGGGGAGATATTAACATTTAAGTGGCGGACACCACGACAGAAAAATTGTAGTGGAAATCCGTGAAACATGGCTTCCGGCTGCGACCCAGTGAGATGAAATGACTCAATGTTTGCATTTTACGGCCATAACTTTTTTGTTTTTGAACGAATCCCTTAGCAACCATATATTGCTAGAATCGGGACAGTGAGACCTAACCGTTTATGCATGTCTCAATTACATACACTACGATATGCGCCTATTTAACATAGGAAAATGTCTGCAGGCTGATTTATTTTTCATCTAAAACCTTATACATTTACAGTTGTCTGCCAGCGAGCCTGGCTTAAAACATATCATATTGTGTGTCCTGGCAAGGCGAACATAAAGATCATATAAATGTGCCAATGTCAGTTGACGTGACCTAATCAACAAATACCGGAAAACCCCCCCCCCCCCCTTGCAACAGCGATGTCACCCGGGGTGGTCTTTCTCCGCACAGTGATGATACCGGGATGGCCGCATCCCCTTCCTGCTACCTTCTTTCCCTGGTATCTCTCCTCTTCTTTCTTTCTTTTTCCTCTTCTTTCTTTTTCCCCATGTCTCAGTGTCGACTTTCTTAGTCTTTTTTTTTTTTTTTAATTCCTCTCTCCTCCTCCTGCTCCTTCTCTTTCTCAACTTTCTCTCAATCTTCTACTGCCCCTCCCCTAACTCTCCGTTCTGTATGGTAGAAGAAAACATGAGCCCACTGGTAGTACACGCCGTTTTCATAATAGGTCGGTGACAGTGTTAACAACAGGGCAAACACAGCAGGTGTGTTCATTTCTGGGAATCAGGTCAGGTCGGATTTACTTTTCTTTCAAAAAATGACCATGGCTCCCATGTCCACCCAGCATTGAATGTAAGAAATAGATCTATAGCAGCCACACGCGGACAGCCAAGCATGGGAGGGTTGCCAATGGGATTTTTGTCAAACCTGAAGCTAAGCTTATGTCAAGAGGTGAATCAACTAAACCCTGCACAGTAGACTCGTCGTGACGTTGACGCCCCTAGCGGGCAGGTCACATTTCAAATTTAAACCCGTCCGGTGGGTATATAATCAATTATTTTGATATATACCTCTATCTGGTGGAATAGATATTTCTATACCCTCTAGTTGTTTTGAAAAGTCTACATTTTCAAACTTGCAACTGTGGGATATATATTTTCTGGAGTAATATTCCAAATTCCTGGAAACCTTTTTACTCCTTGGTGTACTTGTACGGGACATTTTTTTTCTAGAGACGCAAAGCGAGATTAGGCTGGGTCATTCTTTGCCTGACTTCCTAGGTGTGCAGAAGTATGTCACCTCTCTGATTAAATCTTGGCGCATTCAAAATACCAGTTTAATCTTTGAAGGATTCCTAAGCTTGGGTAAGTTGATTATAGTTTACAAGTACCATGATATATGTCTCTATAAAGTTAGCCGCTGCTGCAGGGAGGAAAGATTCAGCTGTGTGACTGCACAGAACTAGGCCGTTCTTGGTGTCCAGACACTCAAGCCCCTGAAATCAAACCTTTCCCTTCGCAGGCTAATAGTTTGTGCCCTACCTGACCCACACCATTATAAATATATTAAACTCAGCAAGTTAATTATTCTCTAACCAGCCGACAGAGTTTGTGTCAAATAGCGGACATATTTAACTGGGTCATACTTCAGCCAGCTAGGCACTGTGACGTTAGAGGTTTTTTTTAGCACAACAACACTGGGTGTGCAGTGGGCAGAATGTGGAGGTATAAAATATATATATGTGAGAGAGAGATGGGATGTACATCTACAAGTGCAGAGGTGGGCGAGGAGAGTTGATATTCTATGTTTGATAGAGTCTATCTGTCTCTACTCTGCTACTCGTCTCTTGTCCCTGTTACTGACTGAACAACAGAGATGATATTTAGAGACTTATACTGTCTCATTATCCTGAAAACTCTCCTCTGAATGATTACTAATGTGGATGTTAATAAACTGAGCTTGACATGTAACCCCTGAGATGACTGCTAATTCTGAGTTCCTTCTTGATACAGGATGGTATCTCCTTGGAGGCCAGGCAGTGAATCAGCAGTCCACAAAAACACCTACAAGGAAGTCACCAATGTCCAAGCCAGTGGTGGGCATCCAATTGTAAACCAAACTTTTGTCATCCATTAGGGAAATCCTCCAGTTGGTCTATGGACTACATAATGGGTGTTGTACCTTCACCATCATTTTTGATTGACTTGGTACCCGAGATCCTCTCCAGGAGCTTGGGTGTATCACCAGTGTTTGAGTGTCTAGTGTGGGACTGTCTTCAACGTAACAACACAGTGACTGAATATTCAGCAAGTTCAAGAAACCAGGGATTCAGATAAGTGTGGTCAATTGGTTTATTGCCGGGCTTCACTGTTAATCGTCCACATGATCATGATGATGATCTAGGCCGACCTTGGGAATCTCTTACACATTCAGTCAGATCTGTTTTGAAGTTTTTGTCCTTCCTATCACTCTGGGTTCTTGATGTTCTTTGCTGATTCTTATATAATGTATGTGTTGCATTTATTACATGTTCAGAAAGTTTCATTATTGACTTGAGTGTCCATGATTCACTGTTCAAACTGTCCACTTTTTATGTTTGTGTGATTAGTAAGTTTAATCTGTGTTAACATGGCTGTGATAGTACACTATCATAGCCTGGGGGCTTTCTTGTTATAATAGTGGGGGTGTCCAGCCAAGTTGCGATTAGGATTAGTAGATATTCTGTAGTGCCAGAACTTAAGTTGCCCTACTCCTAAAATAAGTTGAGCGTATATTGGCCACGGGATATCCCTTAGACCAATGCGAGCCGACGCCTCAACATTATTTTATTTCAGAGTTCTGTTGGTTCTTAAGGAGAAATCCTTAAATCAGGCACGCGACACGAGTTACCACTGTGACAGCTTACCAAAAATCCAAGCAATATATAAGAAAAACAAAATTGACAAATAGTACATATTTTATAGTTAATTTTATAATTACGAAATGAAACATTTACCCACTTTTATATAAGGATATATATGTTTAAAAAAAAAAAAAAAGATTCCAAAATCTTAACCCAAGGTGTCGTAAAAAAACCCAGTTCTTGGGGGAAAGCCCAAGTACTGGCAGGCCTGATGAAAGCGCTGCTGTTGTTTCTCGACCACTTAGATTGACCAATTCCGACTGAAAATTCCGTGGATTCTAAATAATAACAGACGCATTAAAAAATGCTACAAGAGTTGTAGATGTTTAAAAAGTAACTCACTTAAACATTATTAATTTACTAAGTATCTGAAGTTAATTACTAAAGAATAATCTTAGAAAATGCGCAATGATGGCCCAAATTTAATTATTGGGATTTGAGGGTGATCAGGCAAAAAAATATCCAACAGAGTATGCGAAGGGCTCTAAATAATGACAGATGCATGAACAAATGCTACAATGGTTGTGGATTTTTTTTTAAATGATTAAAATAACGTTAGCTAATTTAATAATTATTTTAAGTTAATTATAAAGCGGGAAAAACGGTCTCCTAGTGCAAACATATTGAATTTAAAGCCAAAACAGTGATGCCACTAAACAATTTTTTTTAAACATGTGCTGTACTGCCAACCTTTGTGAAATTTCCCATACTTATATAAAAATTAACGAAGAATTCAAAAATACAACATACATTACGGTAATCTGGCTAATTAAAACGATATTTATGAAATTACTTACCGTTATAAGATTTAAAGCCAAAACAGTGATGCCACTAAACAATTTTTTTAAACATGAGCTGTATTGCCAATCTTTGTGAAATTTCCCACACTTATATAAAAATTACCGCAGCAGAATTCAAAAATATAAACACACGTTGCGGTAATCTGGCTAATTAAGAAGATATTTACGAAATTACTTACCGTTATTGGATTTAAAGCCAAAACAGTGATGCCACTAAACAATTTTTTAAAACATGAGCTGTATTGCCAATCTTTGTGAAATTTCCCACACTTATATAAAAATGAACGCAGAATTCAAAAATACACCACACATTGCGGTAATCAGGCTAATAAAGAAGATATTTACGAAATTACTTACCGTCATTGGATTTGAAGGGAAAACAGTGATGCTACTAACCAATTTTTTTAAACATGAGCTGTATTGCCAATCTTTTGAAATTTCCCCACACTATATAAAAAATGAACGCAGAATTAAAGATACAATACACATTGCGGTAATCAGTCTAATTAAAAAGATATTTACGAAAATTACTTACCGTTTATTCACTGCGTGCTGCCAAAAAAAAAAATCGATTTATTTTATACGCGTCAAAACCATCTCAGGTCAAAGCCTGGCATCTCTCCAATAACTTCTAATAACTTTTCCGATTTTATCTTTCACGTTAAGAGCACAGAAAAATAATTTCTGAATAACAGACATTTGGTTTTCAAATTTTCGGGTCGCAATCGCGTCTATAGATACCGACGAAAATGTACAGCAAAATAAACGAAACAAAACGATCCATTGCCATACCTACTATCAGATAGGATTCTGAAGTCAGAATTAATATTGCTGTAAGATGGGACATTGCTGTCAGACTGGATACTGCAACCAGCTGGGATATTTTCAGATGGGATACTGACATCAGATGGGATACTGACATCAGATGGGATACTGACATCAGATGGAGTGCTGGTGTCAGAAAGGATATGGATGTTAGACAGGATACTGGAGTCAGCTGGGATTTTACTACCAGATTGACTACTGTTCTCAGCTGGGATACTGCTGTCAGATTGATTCTCCAGTTAGCCTGTATTCATTGAGATAAAGTATATGCCTAAGTACAAACATTAACAAATCAAGTCTGCACATAAAAGGCAGTGTTAATCTAAAGAGAAAACATTAAGTTACCACTTCAGCAGATGGTCGGGAGGCATAGGTGAGGAATATACTGGGAACTTCTTCCACCACGTCCACTTTATCGATCTCGCCAAACCGCTGCAACATACAACACAAAAGGTACATCATATATGCAATCAGTGGCTGTAGACTGTAAACTTCCATCACTTAGAAAACTCAACAACCAAATGAATGAATGAAGAACTGATATCACTGAACTCAGAACAGTCTCATGCATGCGCCGTGCTCCTTCTCTGCCTTTTACATCCCAGCTGGGTGGTGTTGGTGGTAACCTGATTAAACGTACATCTGTCCTTCTTCCTATATGCCGAGTGTCATCCCGATACCCACTCACTCTCCAGTGAATCAGTCTTGCCAGATAAAGACTGTGTTATGCTGAGCTATCCACTTGATCCCATACAGCCTTCATCAGATCTGCCTTACTATAAAGCTAACTTTGTTAACCACTAAAGATGCAGCACCTAGTCAACCAGCCTGTTCATTGCCCAATACACCCACATATATTGGGGAGAAAATATATGGTGTGCTTCAGATTACAAACATATCAAGCAATGCAAGCCACTTTACATCTAGGAGACCATTCTCTATTTTCTGAAGCATGCTTTGCATAACAAAAAAATTGCATTTAATTTACTGCCTCTATTTACCACTTTTCGAGCAGTGCAGGATGGGACGGTGGAGTCGTGAGCCTGTGTATTCAAGGCTGCATAGCTTGTGCAGTTACCATGAACTGTGCAGGTTAGGATTTTTATTTTTGGTCCTGACAGGAAACATCCCTATCCCTCACCGAGGACTGAACTTTGGGCTCCCGCATGACAGCCGAGCTTCCTAACCATTCAGCCAGCTACTTCTCCTGCATGCCTATTTGGACTGCATGTTGGGGGATGCTACTTTACATCCACCGAAAAGCTGCAGTTACTGCCTCCAACTCCATTCCCATGACGGATGTTGTTGCTATAAAACTGTCATTATTCAGAAAACTTAATGGTCTACTATTTGAACCTGGTTCCTACAGCATGGGGGTCACTGAAATTGGGACCACCAAACAAAACAAGCCAATGAATGTTTTAATACCCAATGCTACAGCAAAATATTTCTCTGTGCTGCTTAGTAGCTAACATTTCTTCTTCTTCTTTGCGTTCACCAGCTGTAAACTGTGGTGGAAAGTTCTGGTTGTTCATCCACTTCTGTTCCAGAATCTGAATGTTGCATATGCATCCGTTTGACAGATCTGACTTATTTGTGTGCAGACTGTTGGTTCCTTGCCTCTCTGGCAGATGCACTCCGACTTCGAAGAAAGCTTCCAATTAGTCGACTCTTACGACATGCTTTTGGGTAGGCAGTGGGTCTATTCTTGGTTTCCCCATAATAGGGTGCCGGAACCCACACGGGGATAGCTAACATTTGAATGTGATGATGATGACAATGATATAGTATGCATGTGGATGATGATGATATTGATATGGTAAGCATGTTGATGATGATGATAATGATATGGTAAGCATGTTGATGATGATGATAATGATATGGTAAGCATGTTGATGATGATGATAATGATATGGTAAGCATTTTGATGATGATGATAATGATATGATAAGCATGTTGATGATGATAATGATATGGTAAGCATGTTGATGATATGTTAAGCATGTTGATGATGGTGATAATAATATGGTAATCATGTTGATGATGATGATATGGTAATCATGTTGATGATGATGACAAAGATTTGTTAAGCATGTTGATGATGATGACAATGATATGGTAAGCATGTTGATGATGATGATAATGATATGGTAAGCATGTTGATGATGATGATAATGATATGGTAAGCATGTTGATGATGATAATGATATGATAAGCATGTTGATGATGATGATAATGATATGATAAGCATGTTGATGATGATGATAATGATATGGTAAGCATGTTGATGATGATAATGATATAGTAAGCATGTTGATGATGATAATGATATGATAAGCATGTTGATGATGATAATGATATGGTAAGCAATATGTAAACCAGTGTTGAGACTAAAGTACCCCATTTAACATATTCTACCTGAAAGTGCTGTTTGATCTCCTCGAGCTCGGGCAGATCAAAGCCCTTCACCTCAATTGTCTTGGGCCTGTTGTCCAGATGGGTTCTGCTGAGCAATTGTGGCATGTGTCCCCGGCCTCGCTGGGTCCATCCACCAGCTCGAGCCCCTGGCCACCCTCGACCTCTACCATAGTGGACTACCGGCTACATGACAAAAACAGTAATCCATAAATGACAACAGCAGATGACAATGACACATAATGTCAGATCAGATATAAGAACTATTTGCATGCTTGATAAGGACCTCTACAAACTAACAAATTATCTGCTCCAGTGCACATCGGCAAACATGTCTACAGATGTCACATTTTAATCATTCTCCACGTAAACATATGACTAAACTGACTGCATGTTGTATTTATCCCATCAGTAAACATGTGTCTAAACTGACTAAAAATCTGGTCCACTACATCAGCAAACATGTGTCTAAACTGACAAAATGTCCTGTTCATCCCATCAGCAAACATTGTCTAAACTGACTAAATGTCCTGTTCATCACATCAGCAAACATTGTCTAAACTGACAAAATGTCCTGTTCTTCCCATCAGCAAACATTGTCTAAACTGACTAAATATCCTGTTCATCACATCAGCAAACATGTGTCTAAACTGACTAAATATCCTGTTCATCACATCAGCAAACATGTGTCTAAACTGACTAAATGTTGTATTTATCACATCAGTAATCATGTGTCTAAACTGACTAAATGTCGTATTTATCACATCAGTAAAGATGTGTCTAAACTGACTAAAAATCTGATCCACTACATTAGCAAACGTGGGTCTAAACTGACTAAATGTCCTGTTCATCACATCAGCAAACATGTGTCTAAACTGACTAAATGTCCTGTTCATCACATCAGCAAACATGTGTCTAAACTGACTAAATGTTGTATTTATCACATCAGCAAACATGTGTCTAAACTGACTAAACATCTGATCCACTACATCAGCAAACATGGGTCTAAACTGATACCTATATCAGCAAACAAAGTTAGCTGCCCATGCTTTACAGGACACAGGAGAACCAAACCAAGCAATTCTTGACTGCTTTGATTTTTCTAGGCAAATTTTATGTTCAGTAGTTTGCTATATCAGTAAACATGTGCCTAAACTAATTAAATATTTGGCCCACTACATCAGTAAATGTGTCACTAATCTGACATTTTATTTATTCATCTCCACATCAGTAAACATGTGTCTAAACTTATTATATGTCCGGCCCAATGCATCAACACTAACCTTTCATATAGTCATGCAAATTTCAGAAAATATGTCACCCTAACATCAGTAAACATATAACAAAACCGGCCTTTCATCTAGTCATCCTAACATCAGTAAACATTTAACAAAACTGGCCTTTCATCTAGTCATCCTAATATCAGTAAACATAACAAAACTGGCCTTTCATCTGGTCATTTCAAACTTCAGTAAATATGTGATACAACTGTCCTTTCATCTAGTCATCCCAATGTCAGTAAACATGTAACAAAACTGGCCTTTCATTAAGCTATACCAACATCAGTAAACATGTGGGATGCCTTTTATCTAGTCATCCCAACATCAAAAACATGTGACAAAACTGGCTTTACGCCTGGTCATCCCAATGTCAGTTAACATGTGACAAAACCGGCATTTCATTTAGTCATAAAAACATCAGTAAACATGTGACAAAACTGGCCTTTCATCTGGTCATTTCAAACTTCAGTAAACATGTGACAAAACTGACCTTTTATCTGGTCATCTTAACATCAGTGAACATGTGACAAAACTAGCCTTTCACCTGGTCATCCCAATATTAGTAATCATGTGACAAAACTTACCTTTCATCCTGTCATCCCAACATCAGTGAACATGTGACAAAACTGGCCTTTCATTCAGTTATCCCAACATCAGAAAACATGTGACAAAACTAGCCTTGCATATAGTCATCCTAAACATTAAACACGTGACGAACACACCCTTTCATCTGGTCATACCAACATTAGTAAATACATGACAAAACTGACCTTTCATCTAAACATCAGTAAACATGTGTCAAAGCTGGCCATTCATCTAGTCATACCAACATCAGTAAACATGTGACGAAACTGGTCTTTCATCCAGTCATCAGTAAACACGTGACCAGGCTGACATTTTATCTACCCATCCCCATTCAGTAAACACCCGCCAATGTCACCTGACACAGGTCACGCAGGTGAACTCACCTGCTCATGGCTGCTGACATATTTGAACTGGTCAGGTGCCGGGGGTTGGAATGTTGTTGGCTGAGGCCTCTTGGCACCTGTGCTGTACTTCACTTTGTCTATGGCATCAGATATGGTTCTCAATGCCTGAGGATTATCACAACAGAAGAGGTAATAATCAGGAGTCAAGATATCCTCCATTTTGGGAGGAAAAAAGATTAGACTCACTGACCCTAAACTCTTTCAGTACCAAGGAACACAGCACACATTCATAGGTTCCTACCTAGAAGCCCAAAGAATGTTAGATTTGCCAATTTTACATCTCTTCTTAACACCCTTTGGGCCTGTGATGCTAAACCCCCAGGACTGAAAGGGTTGAGAAGGATGTAGTAAGCTTAACAAACAAAACCAAAACCAAAAAAGTGTTTTAAAAAAAAAAAAAAAGTGGGACTTACTGAAAAGTTTGCTGCAACTAATTAAGAGTTTGTTGAAGTTGGATGTATTGAGTTAAAAAGCCAGATAGATGACAAAAAACTGTCAACTATACGAGAACAACATGACATCATATGACAATGACGTCAGATCAGATGAAGAATTGTGTAGACTCTGGAAACTGACCAAATATCTGATCAACGTACATACTTCTTCTTCTTCTCACTCACCAGCTGTAAACTCTGAAAGAATGAATGAATGAAGAACTGACATTCCTGTACTCGAGACATTCCCACAAGTGCTCCATCTCCTTCTTCAGTAGCCAACAAAGAGTCCATATGCTAATAGTACCTGTTGTAATTTGATTAAAGGTCACCACATGTTGGGTTTTTCGCTGCTCTAAAGCCATCAGAAAGCTACCGTTACTGACTTCACCTCCAATTCTCATATTGGATGTTTATCTGGTTTATAAGTGAGGCTCTCTGTTTTCAAACATCGACCTTAGCAATAAAACCCCACCCACACTGGCAGAAAGTCCTTGGTGTTCATCTGCTTTTGGACCAGTCTTGTTCCAAAATTGGAGTTTTGCGTCCATACCCCAATTGTATGCAGACTGTTGGTTCCTCTTATTTCAGACAGATGCACTTAGAACCCCCACCCACACAAAATAAAGAAGATCCAATGTACAGACATCACTGCCAAGCTGTGAACTACAATGCAATATGCCAACCAATGCAGATGAATTAAATAAATATCAATAACAGTGCATAGCTTTGAAACAGACTGGAAATATAAATAACTGTACACAGCTTTGAAACATGGATTGCAGAAAATAACAGTACACAGCTTTGAAAAATGGATTGCAAACATCAATAACAGTACACAGCTTTGAAACATGGACTGGACACATCAGTAAGAGTACACAGTTAAGTGGGGACATCAGTAAGATACTGAACATTAATACGAACGGACTCCAACAAAGAATGCTGTGCAGACCGTCAGAGCAATTAAATTTTAAAGGACTGTGATTAAAACTCTAGTTACCTTCCATAAGTCTTTCTTTTCTTCTTCACTCATTGTGGCTTTCTTCTTCTCAAGAGTGTCTAGGAGTATCTGTGGACAGAAGTGGTAGACATGTTACTAACATTATCAACCAGTGTTCACAATCAATACAATATCCTATACATCCATCTTGCATGCTTGGGAATATATGACGAGAACAGTTAGTGATAGATATGTTACTAACATCCTGTACAAATGTTCATGTTGAACACAAAATTCTGTACATTTACATGCACAGAATGTATCCATCTTTTTTGTCTGGAGGTATTCAAGTATGGAAGAGTTAATGAGAAACATATCACCAACAACCTCATCATCTGTTTAATCATTTTCTGTTTCATTCCCAGGCTGGCTTTCATTTCTAGTTTCTTTTTAAACACTGTATTCCCCCCCCCCCCCCCCCCCCCCCACCCCCCCCCCCCCCCCCCCCCCAACCCCACATATTACAACATACTATTTTGTATATTTGCATTCCCAGCCCTTCATTTTAAAACCCGACATCCTAAAAAAATAATGTAAATATAACTACACAAAATACAAACAGCAAACAGATTACCATAAATATAACTACTTTAACTACATAAAATACAAACAGCAAACAGATTACCTTTTGCTGCTGAATCTGTTTGGCCAAAAGCTCCTGCCTCTTCTGCTCCAACTCTGCCTGTTTGATTGCTGCTAACTGAAATAATGAGAAAGCCCAGTTATCATAGTTAGTGAATGTTTGACAGAGCACTGAAGGCTGTGTGGACTGTCTCTTTAAGTTAGTCATATAAAAAAGGTGGATAACAGAAATATTTAAAGGATAATTGCTTCTTCTTAGAGCTCACCAGATGTAAAATCTAGATGGCGAGTATTGGTTGTCTGACCATTTCTGGACTTTGGTCTCATTCCTGAATGAATGTTGTATGCACATCAGTTTTACAGGTCTGGCTTATTTGTATGCAGACTGTTGGTTTGTTACCTCTCAGATCAACTCTGTCTGAAGAAAATGTTGCCCAGGCTCCCGGCAGGGAACCTGTTTCTAGGATGACTGTCAAGAGGTGTAGATAGGTCCTGACCAGCATGAGACCCACTCCTGGGGCCCCGCTATGGGTGAATCACCATCTCTGCATCCAAGAACAATATCAGGACATGGATGAAAATTTTCGGCACAGATCCTGATATTCCATCTCTTTGTAGTGAAGAGGCAGTCAGAGCTGCAGCTGCAATTCAATACAGAATATGTAGAAAAGATTGTGAACTGAATCCTTTAACTTCCTTCTTCTTCTTCTTCTGCCTCCTATCCTCCAATGAGGCACAGGCCCTAACCAACTAACACACACCAAACTGTTCTGTCTTTTGCTACTACTGCATGCAGCTCACCCCATGTCCTCCCCATTTTTATTTTAACTTCACTCACTCTCTAGTTCCCATCTGCATGTGTTTTTTTGGGTCGGCCTTTATTTCTATGCAAAGACATTCTAGTTATATCGTTATCAGATTTTTCTTAAAGTGTGTCCTGTCGGTGTCTTTTCTTTACCTCTTCACCACTGGCACATGTTAAGTTCTCTCCCAGAGCTCAACATTAGTGATTTTATCATACCACTATCATTCCTTCTATTCTGCATAGGCTCCAATGTTTGTAGCTCATTTGCAGTAATTTTAATCCTTCAACTAATATGGCCCAAATGTCAGCCCACACTTCCCAAGAACTTTCTGTGCCATGACTTGCCTTAGCCATCTGTACATATAAATATATCTCTATCATCAGCTGACAGAAGGACTGGTACTCATCACTTGTGATGGACGAGCAACAGTTATTTACACTGTATAGTTCGAAAGGAAACTAGATTAGATGAGCTTACAGTGTCAATTGTTTTGATTTTTGTATGTTTGTATGCTTTCCCATGTCTCTGAGGTAGAGATTCAAGTGTCTACTCTTGTGTGACAAGAGTGAAAACTCAGGGAACCTGTGTTCAAGTTGCACACAAATGGAAAAGCAGAACTTGCCCAGACACAATTCAAATTAGAAAAGGTAGCTGGTCACCTAATTGTATTGTGCCTCTTTACAGCAAAGCTGTGATATTTGCATCTTTCGGCAAACCATCTGACATCATCAAGCATTTGTTTACTGGGTCAACTACCGGTAGCTAAATACACATATTTATGGCTAGTCAGATTTTGTTATAATTATATCAGCACCCCCCCCCCCCCCCCCTCCAACAACAAACAAAGATTTTGTGCATTGTGCTGAAATTCTCATTGTTGGATCAATGGGAAGAGACAGACTGGTGTAATTATGGTGATATCTATGGGCAGTATCTAAACAGATGGACTCTTGTGTTGAGAGACAGACAAAGTCCCCTGGGGTTCTTAGCAAACGTCAGTCAACGTCACATAGTAAAACAAAGCCTGGCATCTGATATTACAACACCTAGTTTGCTGCAGGTTTTCACGGGATTGGAAACCAGATGTACACATGCTGTAATTGCAACCGACTAACAGAACATGAAGATAAGCAGTTTCACTTTGTGAGTAAATTGTTTTCAAACCATTTTCATTACACTTTAAAAAAAAAAAAAAATATGTCCACAGTGTTGTCATTTAGTCTTAACAACCTAATGTGATTATCTATGCAAAGAAGATTCAAATGTTTAAGCAAAACAATTCATTAAGAGTGAACAACATTAAGGGTACTCCAGGAACTTTCCCTCCATTGGGGGAGGAGGGGGGGGGGGGGCGGAAAGAGAGAGAGAGAAAAAGAGAGAGAGAGATAGAGAGAGAGTGAGAGAGAGAGAGAGAGAGAGAGAGAGAGAGAGAAAGAGAGAGAGAGAGAGAGCCTGCAACACCAACTTTTCTCTCCTCCTCGATTCTGCTGATAGCTTCCATTCTGGACACATGGTCAGCCGTTTTCATAGCCGTGGGACTGACAATAGGAGTTGTGCTTTTGCTTTTGGCCATTGTATTTGTTGTTGCTGATGGGTTGAACACTGTCTTTTTCAGGTTTCCAATGGAGGATGTGTAGACGATAGACTGCAAAGTAAACAAAATGTTACCAACGTTTGTAGTTGCTACTGGTGTACACCGGGGTCCCATGAGCCAATCTGGCATATGGAGGCATAGAATGTGGCCTGTGAATCACTGCCAGTTGTATTGTATTAATGAACTTTATATAATGGGGCTCGGGCCTCTGCCCATGACGATACCCACATTTTTTTTTTTTTTTTGGCCTCTGGATAAACTTAGTTGGATAGCCCTGGTGTAAACAGTTGTTTAACAGATTCCCAATGTAGAATGTTTATACAACAGACTGAAAAATGAAAACAATTTTGTGTTACCAATAAATACAACTGACTACTGGTCCAATATGGCGGACAGGCTAGTTGGCGACTGATGCTTTGAAAAGTTGTTTGTATATAGTTGTGGTCTGCTGAAATGTCTCCACTTCTGGACTAGTTCAAATGTCATATTACTCAGCTACTGAGCTCAGTGCAACACTGTGAGCTGCTGATTTAATATAGAATGTTTTTTCTGTTGTGCCTGTGGCAGTTTTGGTGTGTTGTAAACTGCACTAAAAATGACGGGCAGCCAGTTAAGTTTGGGATAGCATGTGCAAATGCAGGCTTATGTAACTGACTGACTGCATCAACAGTCAGCTGCAATTTGTGATGCAAGACAGCAATGTCACATCTGACCACTGTCTTATGCATTTATTTTGCATGTGTGAGTTTCAATTTCTGATAAGTTTTTCATGCATTTTTGAAACAGAGCAGCAAAGGACACTTTGTGATTTCCATACTAACACAATAAGAGAGGACTTCTAGGGTGATCAAACTGAAGTAAGTTGGAACCTCGACTAATTACTAACAAACACGATTTTCAACAATTCCCCCCCCCCCCCCCCCCCCCCCCCCCCCAACAGATAATCAGGTGATCACAGTTCCAAATTCACAGCAAACCGGACACCCATAGCCACTCCCCTCCTGTGCCAATGAAAAACACACAGAATATAGGACTCTTGTGGACAAATTGATACATACTGCAGCCTCAGCAAATCCTATAGCATTTACACGCACTAACTGCATAAGGCAGTCGTTGGAAGTGCCAGCACAAATATTATCGATGGAAGTGGAGTTTAAAGCAGATCAGTAGTTGCATCTGCATTGAATCACACAAGGCACCACCAGTTCTCTGGCAACAGGCCACTTGCCATTAATCTGAATCTACAGTTTACAACACACACAAAACTGCCAAGAATTAAGCTCATTCCACTTCAAGAACACTCTTAAATGTCATAATTAATTACGTGGCTTTAAACCCACTACTCACCAGAGTTATCAATGAATTTCCCTGCGTGGGTTTCAGGGGGGGGGGGGGGGACAAACCCACCCATTATCCCCTAACAAACATGTCACAAAAGTCATCTTATTAGGAGTGTTTACTTGGAAGTCATAGTGCATTTGCCTGAGAGACCAGAAGCCAACAGTCTGCATATAAATAAACCAGATCAGTAAAATGGATGTGTACGCAAAACGCAAGTTCTGGAACAAGACTAAAGTCCAAAAGTGGATGAACAACCAGAATTTTCTGCTGGAAGTTTATAGTCAGTGAATAAGAAGGACTCCCTATGACAATATGATTATGCCACAGCCTCAAGTTCTGAATGTCATGGATTCGCTGCCGAGTACATTTCTCCAGAGACAACTGAGGTCTCACACTGAAGTTGCACTAAAAGAGATCCAGGCATTGGATTCGTTGGAACAGAGTGGAAATAAGGAGGGGAAACAGGATAAAGAGGAAAAGGATTGCAGACAGGTTTGGAGCTAAGTGTTTATAAAGAAAGAAGTCAAAGACTTTAAATGGCAATAAAAGAACCAGGTCCTGAAATTGCATGTTTTTTGTGTGTGGAAGATTCTTCTTAACATGAGCTGGTCTTGCTAGTCACACCTGATGTCAACCTAGCTGGGATTGCCCCTGCCTACCAACAGCATAATGGAACACCAGCATCTTGAGAGCCAGAAAGATGGTAACAAACAAACAAAACCTTTGCGAGTTATTAACATCTTGCACAATTTTCTTTATGTTTAACCTGCATTTAGAGCTTTAGTTGGCCCGTCCTTTGGCATTGCAAGGCAACTCATGGATTTGTTAAACATGTGAACAAAAACACACCAAGTTTAAAACAAAATGTTTCTACTTTGAATTAAAATAATGAGGATACAAAACAATATACTGGAAGAAACATTACCTTATCTGCTGTTGGACTAGGGTTGGTTGTAGCCGCATCTGACGTGCCAGGGGTGTGCTGCTGTTGGGCTTGGCTTTTGTATTGTCCAGCTGAAGCTTATGGGCTGGAGGGATGCTTGGGCGAACGGGCAGCATTAGTGGGGGATGGTCAATCTGGGAGACGGTACAAGTCAAGTGGTCATGACAGCTCTGTGATTGCTACATTGTTTGCATATAGCAGACACTATAGATTATAGTTATTGTTGTTGCTACATCGTGTTCATATAGGAGAAACTACAGATTAGTTATTCTTGTTGCTACATGGTTGTTATTGTTATACTAAAAGAAAGCTCTGTGATTGCTACATTGTGTGCATATAGGAGAAACTATAGATTATAGCTAAACTTTTAAAAGCTCTGTGATTGTTATTTTAGACATAAATTCAATTGTATTAGACTGATACATTCAACTGTATCAGACAGATACATTAAACTGTATTAGACAGATACATTCAACTGTATTAGATACATTTAACTGTATTAGACAGATACATTCAACTGTATCAGACAGATACATTCAACTGTATTAGACAGCTAGACAGAAGAAGAACTCATTGGTAAGTACAGTTCCCACCTACAGCTAACAGAAAAACTTACGACACTCACCCCATCACCAACTCTGCCACCTGTAACAGTCGTCTGCTGTATCTGAACATTCCGCCCATCCTCCCCTACAGTCACAACTACAGGACTGTCAGTCTCACCATCCAAGTTGATTTGTTTTTCAGCATTGTGCCAGAACAGCTTGATGAACCTATTGTTGAACACAGGCTCGGGACTCCTGTAGGCAGCATTAGCCTCGGAACTGTTGGAGTAGGTGATGAGGGCAGCCCCAGGGTCTCCTTGAAATTTGACCTGCCGAATGCCAACATCAAATGAGTGCACGCACACTGATATGATACACAATTAGGACATACATACATCAAAGCAATTTACTTAAAGTGAAACCGTGTTGTGATCGACCCCTGGTAAGGCGATGAAATTTTTCTGTTGGAGGGGGCGGGGGGAATCAAACGTCTTAACCTGCACAGTCCGTGGCGACAGCACTAATCATGAATCCCTAAATCCTAAGGCTCACGACCCATTGTCTACACTGCTCTAAAAAGTAGTCAATACGGGACAGTACTGACAGTTTATATAGTGGAATGAGGTTTCTAGGATTTATTCCTGCTTTATTCCTATCCCAGTAGTTACAGTTTATATAGTGGAATGAGGTTTCTAGGATTTATTCCTGCTTTATTCCTATCCCAGTAGTTACAGTTTATATAGTAGAATGAGGTTTCTAGGATTTATTCCTGCTTTATTCCTATCCCAGTAGTTACAGTTTATATAGTAGAATGAGGTTTCTAGGATTTATTCCTGCTTTATTCCTATCCCAGTAGTTACAGTTTATATAGTGGAATGAGGTTTCTAGGATTTATTCCTGCTTTATTCCTATCCCAGTAGTTACAGTTTATATAGTGGAATGAGGTTTCTAGGATTTATTCCTGCTTTATTCCTATCCCAGTAGTGACATATATAGTGGAATAAGGTTTCTAGGATTTATTCCTGCTTTATTTCTATCCCAGTGGTGACAATCTGTTATTGGGTGTAAATCTGAAAATGGTTAAACGTTGAATTAAAAATCCACATCACAGCACTAGGGACATTCCCATAAGTGCCCTGTTCCCATCTTCAACAGCAAGCGCAGACTTCCAATTCTGACAGCACCAGTAACATTCTGACTGTATATTTGTTTTGTCTTTCCCTTTGAGTGTTGAGCATCTGTCAGTTCCCCTCTCGTCAATTTTTACAGCACCATTCTCCTCAGACAGTGTGTTAATCTATTTGTGCTTCTTTAGAGTTCACATTCTCCCAAAACACCCTTAGAACATTTAGCTTGTCATGCATCAATTCACCACCTAGTGGTGAAAAACCAGCCAGTCTATCTACCTGTTTGTTTCCCAACACATCAGTGTACCAGCCAGTCTGTCTACCTGTTTGTTTCCCAACACATCAGTGTACCAGTCAGTCTTATCTACCTGTTTGTTTCCAACACATCAGTGTACCAGCCAGTCTTATCTACCTGTTTGTTTCCAACACATCAGTGTACCAGCCAGTCTTATCTACCTGTTTGTTTTCAACACATCAGTGTACCAGCCAGTCTGTCTGCCTGTTTGTTTCCAACACATCAGTGAACCAGCCAGTCTGTCTGCCTGTTTGTTTCACACATCAGTGTACCAGCCAGCCTGTCTGCCTGTTTGTTTCCAACACATCAGTGTACCAGCCAGTCTGTCTGCCTGTTTGTTTCCAACACATCAGTGTACCAGCCAGTCTGTCTGCCTGTTTGTTTCCAACACATCAGTGTACCAGCCAGTCTGTCTGCCTGTTTGTTTCCAACACATCAGTGTACCAGCCAGTCTGTCTGCCTGTTTGTTTCCAACACATCAGTGTACCAGCCAGTCTGTCTGCCTGTTTGTTTCCAACACATCAGTGTACCAGCCAGTCTGTCTGCCTGTTTGTTTTCAACACATCAGTGTACCAGCCAGTCTGTCTGCCTGTTTGTTTCCTAACACATCAGTGTACCAGCCAGTCTGTCTGCCTGTTTGTTTCCAACACATCAGTGTACCAGCCAGTCTGTCTGCCTGTTTGTTTCCAACACATCAGTGTACCAGCCAGTCTGTCTTCCTGTTTGTTTCCAACACATCAGTGTACCAGCCAGTCTGTCTCTCTGTTTGTTTCCAACACATCAGTGTACCAGCCAGTCTGTCTTCCTGTTTGTTTCCAACACATCAGTGTACCAGCCAGTCTGTCTGCCTGTTTGTTTCCCAACACATCAGTGTTAATCTGCAGGCATACTCAGAGCAGCTTAAAGTTAAAGTGGAGAGGACCAACTTCACCCGGCATTAGGTTATCTTATATGGCGCAGTCTGACTATGCAGAACAGCTAGCTTCACGCTGAAAGCATCACACAAGCACTAACACCGTAGCTCCAGTGACAATCCCCAAAGATCACCGCTAAAAACTGCACTCATGAACTGAACCCGTGACTTTCAAAGCACGAGGGCATTGTTTTGACCGCTTCGCCATGGAGACCCTCTTTTTTAATTTAAAAGTACAGGTACCATATCTGTGCCCTGAGAGGTGATGTGTATATGGTGCTAGAATAACATTTGTTTAGACCAAGAAGTACTCAGTCCTATTAGCCCTTTAACCCTGTGAAAGCTAAAAAGAAGGGGAGGGGGGCATAAACCCATGGGAGTTTCCCTTAAAAATTCATTTTAAAAAGCAACCATATTAAACAGCTAACTTAATTCATAAAAAAATATTGTTTATCTACATTTAAAAAATTGTGTGTTCAAAATATATAGAGTGATAAAGAGGTAATCAGTAAACCCGCACTGAGTGAAACATTAAATGGAATATTGTCACCGTGGGCCTATAAAACAATATGTATCTGGTGACTCAAGCAGTGACCTCTATCACTGAGGCTTATGGGACAATTTGTCATCAATTTTAGCTTCAAAAAGCCAATGTAGTCATAAAGAAAGCTTTATAAATGGTATTCCCAGTTTCTATATTCATATCTTGGCCTTTTCAGTACCGTGCAGGCACAGATACAATTTAATATAACTAGTTTTCAAGAACAGATCCCTGATGATGTGATGATATTTCAGCATTTACGGGACTGTGTCATAGCTGGAAGTGACTAGATTTAGTTTTATCTGGGCGACAGGGTTAAGAGATATAACACTCTTATAAAAGTTATACACTGGAGGGGAAAGTTGAAGGCAAGAGGAAGACAGTGATAAAAGTGGAAGGATAACATCTTCTTCTTTGTGTTCACCAGCTCTAAACTCCAGCAGAAAATTCTGGCTGTTTGTCCACCTCCAGACTTTAGTCTGGTTCCAGAACCTGAGTGTTGCATGCAAATCCATTTCACACATCTGGCTTATCTGTATGCAGATTCTTGAGTCTGTGCCTCTCAGGCAGATGTACTCCGACTTTGAAGGAGGCCCCTAATTAGTTGACTCCTATGACATGCTTGTTGAGAAGGCAGTGGGTTTATTCTTGTTTTCCCCACAACCACAAAGAGAGTATAATTAATATGAAAGACAGAGAGTGTTGGAGATAAAACTGCATCCTCTTCAGTCTGGAGATGACATCTGGTTAACTGGCCAGAAACAGCCGTCAGATAATATAATTAATGTTCTATAACAGTGATAGAAAAAAAAACATGTCTTTGACAGGACCAAAATGAGTCTTTCTTATGTAACAAACCTGGATATTGGTAAGGTTCCCAAATTTCCCAAAATGCTCGTTGAGTTTTGCTATGTTGTTATACTCATGTGGTATCTTCCACACCTCCAAGGTAAGACTACCCGATGGTCTGAACTGTGGTCTGGGCATTGGAAGTCTTGCACGCACTGAGATGAAAAAGATCACTGTATCAACAGGGGGTTATACATTAACTCTCTGTGTCTGTGCAGTCCTGCCACTGGGGCAGCAATGCCAGACACACCATTTAAAAAAAACAGCTGTCAACAGGGTAACAATGATGTAACAATAATCCTATCATTGAGACAACGATCTTATTCAGAACAATACTTCTGTCACTTGGGTAGGAATGTTATTCAGGATAATAATCCTGTCACTGGGGTAGCTATATTAGGACAATTATCCTGTCTCTGGGGTAGCAATTTTAGTCAGGACAATTATCCTGTCTTTGGGCTAGCAATGTTACTCAGGACAATTATCCTGTCTTTGGGCTAGCAATGTTACTCAGGACAATTATCCTGTCTTTGGGCTAGCAATGTTACTCAGGACAATTATCCTGTCTTTGGGCTAGCAATGTTACTCAGGACAATTATCCTGTCTTTGGGCTAGCAATGTTACTCAGGACAATTATCCTGTCTTTGGGCTAGCAATGTTACTCAGGACAATTATCCTGTCTCTGGGGTAGCAATGTTACTCAGGACAAATATCCTGTCTCTGGGGTAGCAATGTTACTCAGGACAATTATCCTGTCTTTGGGCTAGCAATGTTACTCAGGACAATTATCCTGTCTCTGGGGTAGCAATGTTACTCAGGACAATTATCCTGTCTATGGGCTAGTAATGTTACTCAGGACAATTATCCTGTCTTTGGGCTAGCAATGTTACTCAGGACAATTATCCTGTCTCTGGGGTAGCAATGTTACTCAGGACAATTATCCTGTCTTTGGGCTAGCAATGTTACTCAGGACAATTATCCTGTCTTTGGGCTAGCAATGTTACTCAGGACAAATATCCTATCTCTGGGCTAGTAATGCTAGTCACGACAACAATCATGTCATTGTTGGGTAGTAATGTTAGGATAATCCTTTAACTTTTTATAGGAACAAAAATTATGTCACTGTTGATTATCTGTCACTGTTATTTCTGTCGCTAAGGTGACAATGCAAATGATAAAAATCCTGTCATCACTGAAGCAGCAATGCTAGTGGTAACAATCCTGTCATCACTGACAATGATGTCATTGTTAGGTAGTAATGTTAGGATAATCCTTTAACCTTTTTATAGGAACAAAAATTATGTCACTGTTGATTCTGTCACTAAGGTAACAATGTAAATGATAAAAATCATGTCATCACTGAAGCAGCAATGCTAGTGGTAACAATCCTGCTATCACTGATGCAGCAATGCTAGTGATAACAATCCTGTCATCACTGACACAGCAATGCTAGTGATAACAATCCTGTCATCACTATTGCAGCAATGCTAGTGATAACAATTCTGCCATCACTGACGCAGCAATGCTAGTGGTAACAATCCTGTCATCACTGACGCAGCAATGCTAGTGATAACAATCCTGCCATCACTGATGCAGCAATGCTAGTGATAACAATCCTGCCATCACTGACGCAGCAATGCTAGTGATAACAATCCTGTCATCACTGATGCAGCAATGCTAGTGATAACAATCCTGTCATCACTGATGCAGCAATGCTAGTGATAACAATCCTGCCATCACTGATGCAGCATTGCTAGTGATAACAATCCTGCCATCACTGATGCAGCAATGCTAGTGATAACAATCCTGTCATCACTGATGCAGCAATGCTAGTGATAACAATCCTGCCATCACTGAAGCGGCAATGCTAGTGATAACTATCCTGTCATCACTGACGCAGCAATGCTAGTGATAACTATCCTGCCATCACTGATGCAGCAATGCAAGTCACCAGGGCAACATTAGGGAAAACTGACAGACAGATCTGAAATAAGAACAGCTGTGCAACAAAAATGCCTTCTGTCACCTCTACTATTTTTTTTTTAAACTAGCGATAGACTGGATTTTGAAGACATCCATCTCTAACATCAGGAATGCAATTTGATGGACCCTTACAAAACAGCTTGAAGATCTAGACTTCGGCAGATGACACACTCTTTTATTCCACTCATGGAATCAGATACAAGATAAATAAAACATACCTGATGAGATATCAGAAATATCAGGTTTAAATATCCATAATGGAAAGACAATTTAATGAGAATTACCCAGGCAAACGGCAGTCTAATTTGTCTTGGTGGCATCCCACTGCAAGTTGTGGATTTATAAACCTATGTGAGCAGTCATGCAGATAAAGACTGGAGGAACTGATAGAGAACAAAATAACAATACAAAAGGCAAGAGGTGTTTTTATAGCACTAGGAAATTTGTGGAAGGCAAAGGGAATCAAACTAAATACTCAACTTAAAATTGTGTAACTCTAATGATGTTTTAACTCTAATGCTGAATCAGTACTGCTGTGTGAAGTGGAAACTTAGGAGTTTAATGCTGAATCAGTACTGCTGTGTGAAATGGAATCAGTACTGCTGTGTGAAGTGGAAACTTGGAGTTTAACTCTAATGTTGAATCAGCACTGTTGCGTGAAGTGGAAACTCTACCTCCCGGGACTGCACCCGGTACCCACTCAAGGCTGGGTCGACCTGGGAGCCAAGGTCATTTTTAAAGAAAAGCCTGGCTCCGTCAGGGAGCGAACCCATGACCTTCCGCTCCACGGCACGCGTCTAGCCGCTCTGCCACAGCGACTCCTGCAATGCCAGTCATAGGACATATTCTGTCACTGATGTAGCAATGCCGGTGATAAAATTCCCGTCGTCACTGAGGCAGAAATGCTGGGGATGAAAATCCTGTCATCAGTAAAGCAGCAATGCTAGTCAAGAGACAGATCTTGACACTGCGAATGAATCAAAGGTGGATACATGACATGAGGATGCAGTGGCTATGAATGAACACACACAAGGCTGGAGAACTGGCTAGAGACATATTTAATATATATATATATATATATATATATTTTTTTTTTTTTTTTAACGTATCCAGAAACCATGAGTTGTAAACCCTTTGGCTCGGTACTATGGATATCGCAACCCTTCAGCATTGATTCCATTATAGGTACCGTTAATCTGGGAGAAATGTGGCTTTTCTGCCTACCCCCGGGAGTGAACCCGGACCACAAGGAGTTCGTCACCCGGCCGCCGCGAAAGTCAGGTTTAACCATTTCGCTAGAGAGCCGGGCTTATATATATATATAAAATAAACACACAGACAATGTAATGATCGGGACTCATAGAAAGAAGTAGAAAGATAGGATACACTAGACAACAACAAAATCTTCATCATGGTCATGGTCTTAGTACACTTGTTTCCATTACAAGGCGCACACCATCTGGAGTTGACAGGTTCGATCCTCGGCATGGTAACTACAGCTTTTCATTTTTATGTTGTCTAGTGTGCCCTGTCCTATCTACTTCTTTCTGTGAGTGTAAATCCATTCATTGTCTGTCTGTTAATTACATAGACTATTTCTAGGGTCTCAAGGTTTCTCCCCTCTGTATATTTATTTGAACGGCTAGAGAAAGAGATACTGTCAGGTGTACAGTGACAAGACCAATGTTCTCTTTAAAAAAAAAAAGTATTTACAAAAAACAAAACAAAACCTGCTGATGAATGATGATGTATAAATATTACATACTGCCAAGACGATTGTAGTCAAACTGACGCCTGGGTGGAGGCTGGATCCGTGTTGGGAAAGGGCGGCTGTAAAAGCGGAGCATTTTCAAACATAAGAGAGGTCTGGTTAACAAGGGCCATCCTCGGAGGGGGTGGCCCGATGTTGACAGCGTTTGGATCGCTGCTGATGGCACTGTAGGGTCTTTTTGCTGGGATGACAATGCGGGAGGGTTCCTTGTCGGGGGCGGTGGTAGCAAGTTCGATGAGGTCACCTGAGGAAGATAAGATCACAACAGGGTATTTATTATCCACTGTGAGCAACAGGTTGTCTACTATAAACTACAACACATCCACTGTGAACACATTACTCAATATGATCAACAAATATTTCAATATGAACAATAGGCCACCCGCAGTGAAGAACAGACCACCTGCTGTGAACAACAGGCCACCCTCTGTAAAGAACAGGCCACCTGCTGTGAACAACAGATCTCCCGCTGTGAACAACAGGCCAACCCGCTGTGAACAACATGCCACCCAGTGTAAATACACATCCCTATGTGTGAACAATCTCATGCTGTGAACAACACATAATCCACTGTGAACAACACATCACCCACTTTAAACAACAAATCACACACTGTGTGAACACCACCTGTATTCTGTATAAGAAACAAAAAAAAAAACAATATGCAATAGAAAATAAACCAGTATGAGATATAGAATAAACTTGTAGAAGAAATAGAATATACCTGCATGAGAAACAGAATAGACCTATATGGAAACAGAATATATCTATACGAGAAACCGAATATAACTGTACGACAATCAGAATATACCTGTATGAAAAACAGAGTAAACCTGTATGCAAATAGAGTATACCTGCATGAGCAACAGAATATACATATATGTGAAACAGAATATACCTGTATGAAGAGTATAAGTGAATGAGAAATGTAATAAACATGTTTGAGAAACAGAATATACCTGTATGAGAAATAGAATAAACGTGTATGAGAAAAAGAATATACCTATGAGAAATATAATATACACATTTGAGGAAAAGAATATATCTGTATAAGAAAGATAAGTATATGTGAAACATAATACACCCATATGAAAAACAGAATATAACTGTACGAAAAACAGAACAGAATATACCTGTGTGAGAAACAGAATATACCTGTATGAGAAACAGAATATAACTGTAATAAAAACGGAATACAGATATATGAGAAACAGAATATAACTGTAATAGAAACAGAATACAGATATATGAGAAACAGACTGTAACTGTATGAGAAACAGAATACAGATATATGAGAAAACAGAATATAATGGTATCTGAAACAGAATATAGATATATGAGAAACAGAATATTACTGTATGAGAAATAAGATACACCCAATGAGAAGCTGGGGTAAAAACCTACATGAGAAACAGAATATCCATTCAGGAGAAACAGAATGTATATATGACAAACTATAAAACTGTTGTGGTATAATCAAGTTTAGTCCTACCTCCATCGTCTAAAAGTGGGGGTGGGTGATTAATGACCACCTCTCTCCTGGACATATAGAAATGGTCTGCCTGAGGAGGGGGTCTGTTGTGTAGCAATCCTGGAGGTGGTTGGCGCAAGTCTGGAGGAGGCAGCCTCAAGTATGGAAGTTTGTTCAGTCCAGGAGCTTCTGGCAAGTAAGGTTCCACTAAAGAAGACAAAACCAATACAATATTAGAGACATGTGTGAATACATCTACAAATATTGGATTAGGAGGATTAAATTGTTCTACTCCCAGTGGAGCAGAGGCCTTCAATCAACCCATGTCTAGTGGCTCCATCCTTTACAATCATATGCAACTCACTTAATTTCCTCCCCATTATTTTCACTTAACTCTCCCTTCTCCATTTTTTTGTTACTGCGTGGTGTTATTCCTTTGAACAGTTTCATTGTATTTATACTGCTCCCAGGTTTTTCTCAATGTGTGTCATATCCAATGCCAGCATCTTTTTTAGCAGCTTTTGATTCACTGGAATTAATTTAGTTCTCTGCCAAAACTGTGAAGGAAGATTCTGGTGCTTTTGCCTTGACTGTGAGCAGTAGTCTGATTCCACAGGTCATGGCAGTAACTAAAGTAATAACATGGCTTCAGGCACAGACCTTCACTTATGCATGATTTCTAAGTGACTCAATGAGGCAGAGGTGGCCACGTTAGCACAGTCGATAGGAGACTCAATTTCAAATCCATCTGCAACTCGCTGCAGACCGCGGCCGGTGTTCGAAACCGGGCAGTTCACAGGATTCACCCAGCCTCTAGGTATTGGGTTCCAGAGTAGATGTAGCTACTGAGTTGCGTGCAGACAGCGACAAAGGCAGACAGTTTCTTATCAGCTGTCTGTACTGATGGCAGAGCACTTATGGTTTATAACCGTGTGCAATGACGCTGGTTCACATCTCCCGACTTAAACTTTGCCTTTCAATCAGTATACTCAAAGACAGATGGATGGGATGGAGTCCAGTGGTTGGAGTTTCTCAGGCAGTTATGACTGACAAAGATCAGTTGCAGGGCATACAGGTGTAAAAGGAAATGAACATGTTAAGGCATGTAAGGCTACAGTGGAGGGCGATTGAGCAATGGACTGGGCTGACATACCGAGTGATCTACGAGAAGAAAGATGTTTGTGAGAATCAAGGGATGACTGAATCTGCAAGAACATCATCATCGTCATGTGTCCTGCCAACTGGCGTAGGCGCTCATGCATCTCCACAGATCACAACCCCTGGTTGCCTGGAACAGCTGTCTTGATGATATCCCTCCATGCCATCGTTTCAGCCCATCCAGCATCATCTCTCTTGGTCTCTCTTCCACTGATATTTTCAGATGTCACAATATTTTCCAATGTCTCTCTTCTCATTACGGGGCCAAAGAACAGGGCTTTTCTCCTTCTTATTGTTGTATGTAGAAACCTACTTTCATTAGCTTCTTTCAAACAATCGTTGTTAGTTACTCTAGCCATCCAAGGTATTCGTAAAATTCTTCTCAGAAACCACATCTCTGTTCCTTCCAAATTCTTCCTCATTTGTTTACCGACTTCCAAGATTCGCTGCCATACAGCAAAACAGGTTCTATGTAACATTTTGGCACTATTTCTGACATTAAAGGAGGCGACTTATTGCATAAGATATTTTTCATTTTCTGAAATGCCGCCTTCGCTTACCAAGAACTACATTCAAAAAGTGGTGAGGTCAGACAAGAGCTCTATGCCAAAGAAGAAGAACATTGAGAAGTGATTCTAACATTTCAGTTAGTTCCCTATATTCAGCACAGGCACCAGTTAATGAATAGTTGTAGTTTATCAGTTAACCGTTTTTCAGTGCCCTCCACATTTCATCTCCATACAATAGTAATGATACAATCTTAATGAAGCTAGGGATTGCAACCTGTGACGATCATGTCCGGTGTTTCCTCAAGTGCAGGACACATTTATTTTCAACAAAAATATAGTGTCTAAAAACAGTGTGTGTCTTATACAATGGTTGTCGAGTTTTACGGAAGGATTTGTTAGCATATATTTCCTTCAGGGCCTTATTTGGGAATGATGGTTCAGGAGTGGGTGACATGATAAGTTGCCATGAGAGATGAATGAAACCAATGGATGAAATCTTCTGGGGACATCTTGACACCAGCTGACAAGGTGAAGAAACCAACTACAGGAGATGTTTGCACTTGGGGGAAAAAGATTCTGGGATAATGTGAAGATTGAGATGACTGTCAAGTCATTCAAGAAGTGTGGTATTTCAAATGCCACAGGTGGAACTGAGGATGAGGCAATATGTGAAGACAGGGATTTGTTATAACACACAGATGAGGACAAGCTAAAGAACTCATATATGGATGACAGTTTTGACAGCGATGATGAATTTTCTGGATTCTATGACGAATAAAACGTGAGCTCAATAACTTTATAAAATCAAATTTTTTCCTCCAAATTTCCAGCCCACAATCAAGTTACAGCTTCTACATGAGATTGTCTTATACTAGGGGAAATATGGTGATTAACCCACTTGGGTTGTAATGACATAGTGGCTAGTGCTCTTGTCACTCAAAACAGTGGTCAGCATTCAATCCTTTAAAAAAAGATCCCTTTTCACGCCTTGGGCGCATCGGGCACCCATATTTTTTACAGACCAATCAGCACTAGGTGGGTAAAGTGGTCAGCATTACGCCAGCCGTCTTTACTTTCCCAGGACATACATACTAGTACCCATTTTAGGATGGGTTGACCTACGACGCCCCATAAGTAAAAAAAAGTAAAGGATCCTTTTTCACGCCTTTAGGCGTATAGGGCAGACCTATATTTTTATAGACCAATCGGCACAAGATGGGTGATGTGGTCAGCATCACGCCGGCCGCCTTACTTTCCCGGGACTGCACCCGGAACCCACTCAAGGCTGGGTCGACCTGGGAGCCAAGGTCATTTTTCAAAAAAGTCCGGCTCTGCTAGGGAGCGAATCCATGACCTCGACGCCCCATACTATGATAAAAAAAAAAGCCACACAGCCAGCAGTGGGTTTTGATCGCTGTACATTGGATTTACGAGTCGGACTCGCAACGCCTAAGCCACAGGACGCCACTATTCAATCTATAGAATAACCTTTTTTTTTTTACTAGAATAAAATGGCTATAATATCCCACTGCACACGACACAGTGTTATAACAATAAAACCAATCTTGGAAGAATTATATACTTTAAAACTAAATGAGAGGTTTCAGTGAGACAGGTTGTGTTGTGAAACTCTTTTAAGGAGTTATTTTAACCTCTGGTCTGCTAGTAGGAGAATTACTGTCGCAAAAATATGTCTGTCTTAAATGTGTTATCAAGATGAAAACGTTGGAAACCTCTGGGATAAATAAATACACATAATATAGACAGATAAGTAGACAGTTGGACAAAATGATGGATCAAAATATATACACTATATAGGTAAATGCATAGAAAGTAGTCAGACAGACAAATTCATAACAGTAGAGAGACAGAATTTAGACATACAGACAGTCAAATACAGAAATGGTACACATGCTGAGAGAAAGACAGATAAGCACATAAATGATGTTTCATAACCTCTAATTGCAACATAAGGCATAAGAAACTGCCAGTGTAAGCACATTCTATGCATACAACTTGGTGTCCAGTATAAATATAGTCTACCTACATGTAACACTGTTTGTGCATTTATCTGTGTGTCTGTTTGATTACTATTTACGTATTTGTCTCTGAGTGTGTCTGTATTCTATCTGTTAACTGTCTATGAATTTTTATGTCTGTCTTCTTTCTACACATTTGTATGTCTGTGCTTCTACAGTGTATCTATGTTCTGATCCATCCTTCTGTCCATCCATCCATTCATCCATCTGTCTGTCTATGTACTTATCTGTCAATCCCTCCATCTGTATCATGTTTCCCAGAAAATAAGTCCTACCCCACATATAAGTCCGAGGTAAGAGTCAACCAGGTAGATAGATTTTTTTATCAGTTGAAACACATAATGAATTAGAAAGTAATGAATGTATAAATACAAATTATTCCTATTAAAGCTTGAAATAAATTTAGATGTTTGAACAAATGTCCTTTTTTTTGGTACCTAATTAAATGCAGATTTTTCTACATGAAAAAAAAATAAGAAATTCCCTGGGAAAAAAGGGCATGAAATGTCTTTTGAAGCAAATATTTATATGACCAGGCCTTATTTTCAAGGAAACATGCTACGGTCAAATCATACAAAGAAAGAAAATGTTTAAAAAAAAAAAAAAAACAGCAATGAAATAAATCATCTGCAAAAGCCAGCCTGCCCCTAGACAAACAAACAGCAATTATATGGTGAACACAATGCAACACATTACCATGTAGCGGCGGAGGTCGCTGCAAGTTCATACGCACAGCAGGGTGACCAGGCGGAGGTACCCGCATGTCAGGGGGCACAAAGCCTCCTGCCAACAAAGAAAAAACAGTGAACTGTTAGGTCAGATCAAATTACCTTCTTACTGAGTAGTGGCTGGCAGAATGGTTAAGGCCGCTGGGCCCTTACGTGGGAGACAAAAATAAAAAGTGTAACCTGCACAGTCGATGGTGACTGCTCTAGCTAAGCAGCCCTAAATACTCAAGCTAAAAAACCCACCACCCTATGAATACACTGCAAAAGTGGTAAATACTGGTGAGAGTGATGAGGGGATCCAGCCAATACTCAATGCTCAGAGGAAACGCAAGACGGACGAGTAATGCTTCTGGCACTATTGGTGCTGGAACTCTGCACTGGCTGCTTAAGATAGGGACAGAGCGCTTATGGGAATGCCCTGAGTGCTGTGATGTCAGTTCTTGAATCATATCAGCTGGTCTCAGTATTTTTTTTTAAACTTAAGAAAATCTTTATTATATCAGCAGTAAACTTAGATCATATAGTAACCACCAACTCACCATGGGTTTGGTGCTGTCTACTGACAGGATACATAATATGTTTCAACATCTTTGGGCAGAGAAATAAAAAACTAGGACATTTCAGCAATGGGAGAGTTCAAGAAGTGAATGACCAAGAAAGAAAAACATGTTGGACAGTCTGAATCATGGCAATAAAGAGCACCTGTATCAGAAATAACTGACTACACAAGACACAAAAAACTGGACAGATATGGCGACCAATAACAACTTTCCATGACAAAACAAGTTAAAGTAACAAAGTCTTATGATAGAACAGTTAGGATAAAAACTTTCCATGACAAAACAAGTTAAAGTAACAAAGTCTTATGATAGAACAGTTAGGATAAAAACTTTCCATGACAAAACAAGTTAAAGTAACAAAGTCTTATGATAGAACAGTTAGGATAAAAACTTTCCATGACAAAACAAGTTAAAGTAACAAAGTCTTATGATAGAACAGTTAGGATAAAAACTTTCCATGACAAAACAAGTTAAAGTAACAAAGTCTTATGATAGAACAGTTAGGATAACAACTTGCTATGACAGAACAAATTTAAGTAACAAAATCTTATAACAGAACAGTTAAAATAATCACTTCCTTTGACAGAGTAAGTTATATAACTGACTACACAAGACACAAAAAACTGGACAGATATGGCGACCAATAACAACTTCCCATGACAAAACAAGTTAAAGTAACAAAGTCTTATGATAGAACAGTTAGGATAAAAACTTTCCATGACAAAACAAGTTAAAGTAACAAAGTCTTATGATAGAACAGTTAGGATAAAAACTTTCCATGACAAAACAAGTTAAAGTAACAAAGTCTTATGATAGAACAGTTAGGATAAAAAAATGACAAAACAAGTTAAAGTAACAAAGTCTTATGATAGAACAGTTAGGATAAAAACTTTCCATGACAAAACAAGTTAAAGTAACAAAGTCTTATGATAGAACAGTTAGGATAACAACTTGCTATGACAGAACAAATTTAAGTAACAAAATCTTATAACAGAACAGTTAAAATAAGCACTTCCTTTGACAGAGTAAGTTAAAAGAATAACCTCTTATGAAAAAAATTAATAACTTCCTATTGTAGAACAAGTTAAAGTAACAAAGTCTTAAGATTTTAACAACAAAATAAAGTAACAATCTATGATATAACATAGTAACAACTTCGTACAGGTAAACAAGTTTAACAACTTCACAGGACTGAATGAGTTGATGCAACCACTTCTTGAAACAGACCAGTAAAAGTAACAACTACTTAGGATAGAAAAACTTAAATAACAACTTCAACGAAACACTAATGATTAATTCTCCTTCACTCACGCTTAAAAGGATGGTTTGACTTTATGTTGTGGTTTACAGCTATGCTGCGATTTCTGTACCTTTGGGTCCACCACAACCGCTTTTGCCAAACCCTTAATTAGTCAACTTATACAACATGGCTGTTAAGTGACAGTGAAGCTATTCTTTACTCCCTGGAACCCACGTAGGATTATGACCCGGAACCCACATAGGACTATGATAAATTCACAGTGGAGTAATAAGAGATAAAATAACAAACGTGGATATCAGGAATCAAATAAAAACAGCATCAATGTGATTTAAATTTTTTTTAAATCAGCTAAAGAACAGCAAATCAACAATTTAAAAAAAAAGGTGATTCGGATGGTTTAATGGTGTAACAAGGCTGACTCGTGACACAGCTCTGATCTTACATTCAGCCCTTTCAAACACTCATCCTTCACACAGCGATTGTATTTTATTACCTATATATAAAGCACATTTGATTATAAATGATAAACAAAAGAGCACAGACAGCAAGAGCTGGTCTCTGTGCTGAAGTGGTCAAGTCGTTGGCCTCACACTCTGAAGGTTGTTGATTCATTTCACAAAGGGCCCTGTTCAGTTCACGACTGTAAACTTTACGGAGATTCCTGGGGAACGTTGTCAGAACTACAGAGGTCGTGCTCTGTGCCACCCTCTCGGCAGGCAGAGAACCGTTCTGTGGAGAGAGGCCGAGCCATATGGGATAAAAACTGGCACAATGAAGTCGGTCCTCTCACCTTTACCTACAAGCACAGATGGCAAAAGCATGCGTGCACACACACATACCCACAAACCACACACACATATACCCGCAAACCACACACACACACCCACAAACCACACACACATACCCACAAACCACTCACACATACCCATGTAACCACACACAAATTATTTTTTTGGCTCCTTTCTGTCTTTCTAGATGGCAGTTGTTATACGGTGCTGTGGGAGACATGAGAATCCCTGTTTATGGCAATGAGGATAATTATATATGTCACATGTGACACACACACACACACTCACATACAGAGCTAGCTCCCATAAACGATGGATTTAGTGGTGTAACAATATTTCCCAGGACAGTCCCACAGACAGATCTAGACAGAGACAGCAAGAGGCGGCTACCGTAAACGATGGATTCATCTAGCAAATACCATCATGAGTGAAGCACCCACCAAAGCTCTATCTCTTTTTTTTTTTTAATACTGATGCTGAAATGAAAAACAGGGATGGTAATGAAGAATAAGATTATGGTTGTGATTAAGGGGTAGGAGAAGCTGAAACAGGAGAAGGTGGAAGATGAAAAGAAGGAGGAAAGGAAGTAGAGGAAGGAGATGTAGAAAAAAAGTAAAAGGAGGAAGAAAAAAGCCAAAGATGTGTCCATAATTTCTACCAATTTGTATGGCATGTTACCTGTGATAAATGAATCAATTTTAATGAACTACTGCATCAGACTAAAGATATGTGCTATAATTTCAGAAGTAGTTTGCTAGTGTGTAATACGCATGATGATATAACAATTTCTATAAATGACTGCAAATTCTAAATTCCTTGTCCAACAACATAACATTTGGCACTGGAGCAGCTTGCGGTACTTGAGGAGTTAAAAAAATACAAAGCTGTTTCCCTTCATCACCAAACAAAAAATAAAAAAGCAAACAGATAAACAGGCAACATAACAGAATAAAGCAGAAATATATATTGAAAAAAAAAAAAACAAAAACAATACCAGTGTTTGGAGCCCCAGGCAGAACACTGGGTATGGACATGTCCTCCAGAACAACTGGGTCGGAGCCATGATCATACGGACAGACGTCACCAAGCATGCAGAAGCCCTTCTCTGAAAAGACAACATTAAATTATGTGAACCTAAACAATAACAATTCTTGTTTGGTCTAGGCATCTGTTTGAATAAGAAGTTGAACACGAGGCAAGAAAGATGCATACTGATGTTGCTGTTGTTAACTGATGTTGCTGTTGTTAACTGATGTTGCTGTTGTTAACTGATGTTGCTGTTGTTAACTGATGTTGCTGTTGTTAACTGATGTTGCTGTTGTTAACTGATGTTGTTGTTGTTAACTGATGTTGCTTAAACTGATGTTGCTGTTGTTAACTGATGTTGCTGTTGTTAACTGATGTTGCTGTTGTTAACTGATGTTGCTGTTGTTAACTGATGTTGCTGTTGTTAACTGATGTTGCTGTTGTTAACTGATGTTGCTGTTGTTAACTGATGTTGCTGTTGTTAACTGATGTTGCTGTTGTTAACTGATGTTGCTGTTGTTAACAAACTGATGTTGCTGTTGTTAACTGATGTTGCTGTTGTTATGATGTTGCATTAACCACTTTTTCTGTTTTAACTGGCAGTTGTTAAATGTTGTTGTTGTTAACTGATGTTGGGTTAAGATGTTGCTGTTGTTAACTGTCTGTTGAGTGTTCTGCCAAACTGAGGATTTTTTCTGTTTAGGGGGGAGGGAACAGGGCTGAACAGCCAGTGCTGCTGGCACAGACTGTGCAGGTTAGGATTTTATTTTTGCAACTACAAGAAAAAATCCCCAACCTTACCGTGGAACTCAAACCAGGTAACTCAACTAAGAGCTTGCATTCTAACCGTTTGGCTGGCATTTTCTCTGTTGGGGTTTACAGTTGGTGAAAAAAATCCTGGTTGGCCGTCTGTGCCTGGACTTTGGTCTTGTTCCGGGAACTGAGTTTTGCATGCAGATTTGTTTTACAGATTTGACTTATTGCATGCAGGCTGTCTGTCGCTTCCTCCATCTCAAATGCACTCTTTACTATTTCTGCTCTTCTCTGTGCATGGTATTCTGAAAATCTGTCTATAGCATTTCAGCTTAAAAGCCCCTACTCTCTTTCTCAAGGACTGGGAGATAGTCCACAACCACATGCCACTACACGGAAGAGGCCTGCTCTCAGAAAGTTAATTTTGACTTCCTTGCTGGTTCTTAACCCCAGACTATCAAAGGTAACGCTTCGTGTTAGTTACTAAATGTTAACATAGTACCCTGCCTGCAGATCCGAAGGTCAGAAGTTCAAATCCAAACAGAATTGATCTTTTTTTTAAAAACTACCTCGGTCCCAAGATCGATTAGATTTGTGTGGGTACCAGGAAAAGCCCCAGGAAGTAACAGCGGTCGACGTGATGTTGACCAATTCACTCACAGAGTGCAGATTTGCCTATAAAATATAGGTCTAGCCCTGCATGCAATATGCCTGAAGATGTGAAAAAGTATCCTTTACTCTTTGTCATGTCTAGCCCTATATGCCCGATAAGCTTAAAGGCGTGAAAAAGGATTCTTTTACTTTTTAACACAGTAACTATAATTATAGGCATTATATTTATGTATTCGTCTCTCTCTCTCTCAGGCCAAGCTCTACACCCCAAGGTAGAAGAGGATCGACTAAATAATTTATTTTTTTATTTTATACACCTAAAGGCCTCCTTTTTAACTTTCCCAGAAATAAAACTTAAGAAATGGTATCTATTCTTCTGATGGTCTCACTTTGGGTACATACAGTTTAGAGACAAGGTGCCTATGATATTTGTAATGGCACCATTTCTAATGACTCTTCTAACAAATACAATACACAGAGTAGTTGCCATATTTCTAATAAACTTATTTCTGTCTCTTCTGACACCTATAAAAACTCACTGAGAGGGAACAACCCTTCATTAATCATAGAAAGTAATAAATCATGGGAAAGTGCCAATCATGAAAATGAGCCAGTCAAGGGTACACATCAATCACAGAGGCACCAAGTATGGGAAGTAGCATCAAAGTCAACAAGAGTTCAGAAATATTCACAAAATCTCCCCCCCCCCCCCCCCCCCCCCAAACAAACACACACATGTACAAACCTTCAAAGTTCTGACAGTGCACTCTGCCGCCGTGCACAATAGCTGGTGGCGGCCCATCAAAGTGGACTGGTGGCAAACGACCATCTACCCTGTCTTCCCCTAAAGGCCGGTAACCCACAATGCTGGTAACAGTGGGCAGGTCATTGGTTGAGGATGAGATGAAATCGTTGTCCTGCAACGGGGTGGAACCTCTGCTGTCTGGTTGGCGGGCTACATAACAAACATTCATGACACCAAAAACTGGTCAGGGATATACAATAACTACAGAAACTACATGCCAACTAGCTCAGTTATTACATCATGCAGTCCCAGGCACATGTTATTTTAACTCGTAACATCATAAGATACTGTTACTTTAACTCAAAGGAATTAAACAATAAACACTACGTGTCCGAAACTGTTAAAATAACCATCAGCACAAATTGAGTTGTAGTGATAACCGGCTGTGATATAAGGAGTCAGAGAATGCGAAGCATATAAGCATAAACTGACAAATACATATTGAGTTGCTTAGGACTGAAAGAGTTCACACATCTAAACATACGTTATGTCTGCAGAATAACTAATAAGTAATTATAAGTAGCATATTCCTACCAACATATTCCTATCAGTGCCAAACTTGGGAGCTATGGAAAACTTACATAAGTAAAATCCATAGTCCCCCCCCCCCCCTATTCTCTCTCTCTCTCTAGACATATCCAAATAGAACCTCCATTTATCAACATAAGTGGTACATTTAAAAAGAGCAGACAGAAAGGCAAGAGGATACCCAAGAAGAAGATGGGTTAAAGACACTGCACATTTACATGGATTGAAAATAGTCTGTACTACCCCTCAAGCGCAGACCAGACAATTTCACCACACGAAGCTTGACAGCAAAAGTGACAGTGATGACTAGATAATCACAGACTGCATTAACATAGCAAAATGAAAATTCTTCAACAAGGAAATCAGTACACGCATCTTGGAAGTGACAAGATGTCCCCAAATGTATCGCCTGGACTCCTTCTGCCGCTTTTCCCCTTCTAACTTTCCTTGTAACACACTACACATTTCTCACAAAATATCCAAAAGAAGGTACATGTCTCTTCTGGTGCAGGCAAGAGGCTCAACTTGTTACACAATGATTTTCTGTATGCCTTTTTTGCTTTTTGTTTGTCAATCCATAGTGTTCTCATTGTTCTTCTACAAAACAATATCTCCACAGCTTCCATTGTTTGTTTTTTCAACGAGTTATATGATATTAACACAATTTATGATTAATCATTAAAAACTTTATATATATTTACATACATATAAATATTTACACACACACATACATACACACACACACATATATATATATATATATATATATGAAAATGTGTTTATGTGTGTGGGGCTGGAAAGGCAAGATGGACATATAATCAAACTGCTGCTGGCAACATCAAAATTTGAACTCTCCGCTGGCTGCTGAAGATGAGGTAAGAGCGCTTATGAGAATTTCCAAGGTATTATAATGTTGATCTCAGCACAACACTCAAAGTATGAACAATATTACATTTTAATTGATAGATGAAAAGCTGATTTGCATAGCTTTACTGAACATATTAAAAGTGTAGGTAGGTTGAGATGAACTAACTATGTGAACAGTGTGAAAAGTTTCATTAAATATATGAAATTATGATCTCTCTCTCTCTCTCTCGCGAGAGAGAGAGAGAGAGAGAGAGAGAGAGAGAAAGAATTTCTGCTAGTGTGTATGTGGCGAGTGTGATATGGAAGAGAACATCTTTACTCAAAATGTTAATTGTAAGTAATGCCATACTCAATATTTAAAAACTGTGTGCATACAGACACACAGCTAATATACTTAACTATAGTAATCTAGCTTTAGATTAGAGATGATAGTAAAGTAGAAACTAACACCAAGAGAAACCTAAATGCATGCACTCAGATACAAAACAGCAGACCAACAGAAAACTGTGTGCTCAAAATAAGAGTTACGTCAAGTTTGTTTAAAATATGTTTCTAAAAAAAAAGTATTTTCAAACATTTAAACTGTTCATTTATTTATTTATTACAACAAAATAGGCAAGCTGCAGTAGCTCAGTAACGAAAATGCCTGTCATCCCAAAGGTATTGGGTTCAAATCTGCCTCAAGGATAATTTTATAACTGACCAAGGCTTTGTCTGGCCGACCCAACCTAAACTGGGAACCGGGCAGTTCTCTAGGAAATAAAAGTGGCCAGCTTAATGTCCATATTTAATACTTATTGGTTGGGGAGGGGGGAATATGGACCTAGCACAATATGCCTGAAGAGCTAGTAAAATGATACAACTTTCCATACAACATAATATTATTTATCCACAAATAAAGAAGTCAGCCAATCAGGTGCCGTTTCCACACTGAAGGTTGGCCACAATGGATCTCCTACAGACTCTATCTCTTCCCTGGATTATACACTACCTTATACTGCTGTTCATCCATCTCTTGATGTTCTCTCACTTGTAACGTCTACCTCTTGCTCTCAATTTTCCCCTCCATTATGGTTTTTTAAAGCCCGCTATGTCTTTTCATATGACAAAATTTTTCAACTGTCTCTTTTTTAATTTCTTTCAGTAATTCTCGTTTCATTCCTAGTCCTTCCAGAACCTCTTTATTGGACCAGTTCTGCTTCCATGAAGTATGACCTATTCTTGTGCGTATCAACATTTCTAGAGACTTAATTTTTTAATTGCTTATTCAAAATTCATTGCGCCACACAGCAGAATTGATTATACATTACATTTGATGATTCTCATTTTTAATGCGCTATTCATCTCTCTAGCTGTAAATAATTTGAAGATATAGTTTTAGCCATTCCTATTCTCTTTCTGCTTCCCTTTGTTACTACATGTCCTAGATAGGAGAAACCTGTTACTTGTTCTAAAAGTTGAGAATTACTTTCGGTTAACATTCACCTCTAAGTGGATGAAGAAGCTGCATGTATTCCTTATCGTTATCACATCTTGTGTAGTCTGGTTTGTAAGTTTGCCTTGTGTTGTATACCCTTTGTCTGCTGCTGCTCATTATGCCCCTAAGGATGCGTAGGCTCTCAACCAACTCACACTGTTGTATCCTTTGCCAGGATGTGCAGCTCACCCAATATCCTTTCACATCTTATTCACTTCAGTTGCTAACTCTGTTCCTAGGTTAGAGCAGGTGAGCTGGCAATATGGACCCATTTCAGCTTTCTTCAGTCCACCTAATAATTCATCTAAGAGAGGCTCTAGGTTGGCTGGTTATTAAATTAAAAAAAAAATTCTTAGAACTCACCAGCTGTCAACGCTGATGACAAGTTCTGGTTACTTGTCCACTTTTTAACTTCATTTCTAGTTCTCGAACAAGAGTTTTGTGTGCATATATGTTTTACAAATCACGCTCACTTGTATGCAGACTCCAAATGATAGGTCATGAAACTAATGTAAGGGGATTTTTATAACTGACCTCGGCTTCCAGGCCGACGCAGACTAAAATACCAGGAAATATCCTGGAAAGTGGAGACGGCTAGTGGGATGTAGACCTCATTACCCAGAGGGTGCTAACTAACTAGTGGGATGTAGACCCCATTACCCTGTGGGTGCTAACTAACTAGTGGGATGTAGACCTCATTACCCAGCGGGTGCTAACTAACTAGTGCGATATAGACCCTATTACCCAGCAGGTGCTAAATAACCAAGAAATATATTGACAGCACCATATACATGATGTGCCAATGGCATGAAAAAAGTCACCTACTTACTTGACTATCATGCAGTGAAGACAAAGATGTACTGATAAAATCTATTATCACATAATTCACTGTTAAGAACTGTAAATAAGGACAGCACCCTTTCCTGGCCTTCGGGCATATAGACCTATATTCTACAGACCAGTCGGCACTTGGTGGGTGATGAGGTCAGCATCATGCAGGCCACCTTTACTTCCCAGGATTCCACTTGGCACCCATTCAAGGCTGGGCTGACATGGAAGCCAAGGTCTTTTTTTTTAAAAGTCAGGTACAGTCAGAACCGAACCCATGACCTTCCGATCGGGAAGTTGAGAAGTGTGTGTTCAGTTAATGCTGAAAATCTGTGTGTCAGTTAATGTTCATGAAGTTTTGCATTTTATTTTTTCCTATCAGGTAATCAAAGATACGTAGTCGCTCCCTATCGAAGGTTCTTTAATTTGGTAATCAAAGAAATATTAACACTGCCCATCGTATTATCCATAATATGGTAATTAAAGATCCTAGTTTCCGTAATTTGGTAACTGAAGATCTAAAGTTCCATAATTTGGTAATTCAAAATCCTGTTTTATAATTTGGTATTGAAAGATCCTATGTGTCAATATTTGAGAGCTACCGTAGTGTAGCGGCTAGACACTAGTCTGCCAAACTGAAGGTTGCGGGTTTGGGTCCTAGCGGAGCCGGACTTTTAAAAAAAAATGTCATTGGCTTCAAGCTGGAAACAGCCTTGAGGAGGTACCAGGTACAGCCTGGGAAGTAAAGACGGCCGGCGTGATGCTGACCACATCATCCACCGAATGCTGATTGGTCTATAAAATAGAGGTCTAGCCCTATATGCTTAATAAGTCTGAAGGGTTCTTTACTTTACATTCTATAATCTGGTAATCATATACTCCATAATCTGGTAATGTAAAAATCCTGTTTCATAATTTTGTAATGACAGATCGTATGTTTCATAATTTGATAATTAAAGATCCTATGCTCCATAATTTGACAATCAAAGATATATAAACACACCACCCATCAAAATCGTAACAAGCAGAACAGCCAAAAGGATAGAAACCAGTTTTCCAAGAAATAATGCAAGAAAACATGACAGACATAGAGGACTCACTATTTGAAGGAGACTTGGTTCTGGTCCGTATCCCACTACCCGGCCTGCTCCACGACCTATGCCTCGGAGAGCGGGAGCGGGACCTTGTTCTGGATTTAAATGGCCTGTATCTTGGACTTCTAGACCTGACCCGGGGACTCCTGGATCGAGCCCTGCCAATGTTTCGATCCAGGGGAGAGCGATTTCTGCGGGGGCTGCGGGAGTAGCTCCTCCGACGGCCCCACCTCCGGTCAGGCGAGTATCGTGGGCGCTCCTCAAATCTTCTGCGTCTGTCAGCATCACTGAACAAATGATTTTACAATGCATGTATTTGTAAATTTTTCTCAAACTTCCATAATGCATCAACTAATATCACAATCAAGTAACATTTACCCTGTGGATTTTTCTGAACCTCAGGGTCATAAAAAACAGTAACAAAGCACCACAGCAAGCATGTCATAGGAGTCAATCAAGAGTATGGCTGGGCTTGGGGTAGACTACCGCATATCATAAAAAAGTTCTGCTTTTTTATAATTAGTTGTAAAAGACAGAAAACAGGTCTCAACAGTTAAAATAATAATCTATTCAGAATTCAAATGAAACATCTAAGAAGGAACCTAAATGTGGAAGGCAACTTGGTATCTCACCTATTTGTCGAATATGTGAATACAGTAAAACCTCATTACCACAAACTCACTTAAAGAAGAACACTCGTTTGAACAGTAAGCTAGCATTAACACTATTTTGGAACTTGGAATTATGTATTAATAACCCCGGTTCGTTCAATCATTATCCTGCTGTACCATTATATGTTAGATAGGGCTCACAGTCTTTTCTCCATTCCGTTTGGTCCTATGCGATCAGTTCAATATCATGGATGGAATCCAGTCCACAGCTTTGACCTCTCTCATCTTCATCTTAGGGTTTCTTTGGGGTGTTCCGGTTAGCCCCCATTTTTGTGAGCGTGAGATCGATTTTCAGTCCATTAAATTTCATGTTGACAAGTTTTTACCCTGCTGCTAGTCTACAAAGAGGGAAAAGAAAGCTGATTACCACTCTGTGTGGTGGTAAAGATGAATATATCTAAATATGAGCCATCAAGTATCTGGTGAATAGTTTTCTGGCTTGAAGACAGGGTTGAATGTGCAGCAGCAACGTGATGGAATGAAAATTACTGGCAGTTTCAACAGTCAGAAAATGATTTAATAAGGATTACAAGTAAATAAAAATGTTTTGGTTGATTTTTTTTCAAGCTTCACTTTCACTGCACATCTCAGAACAAGGAAACTGGTGCATTTATGGAGGCACCTGTGGGTATCAAAAATTACCAACCAATAAAGAAATCCTTTAGTGGCCCAACCTTCTTACTCTGGGAGAATATTAGAACTGTGCATAAACACAACATTGTAAAGAATTAAAAATAAAACAGAGCTCTTCAATATGTATTGTTACCAACATAGTCTTACGAATGGCAAATGTGGAAATTAACAACTATATGAAAAAGAAAAACAGGAACAGAAATCAAATGTCTTTAACGAATCCTAAATGTAACAATAGGAGACAGAATCGGAAGCGGAGATATCAGGAAACAAGTGAGGACGAAACCAGTCCTAAACTACATTAAGATTCAGCAGATAAAATGGTTCAGACTTATTATCAAGACTGACACAGTACCAAAGTTAGAGCCCCATCACTTAAACACAGCGAAGAGAGAGATAGAGACCATCCACAAAAGTGATGGATAGATGGAATATCTGAGGCCAAAAATACCAACATCTATGTAACACATTCTAAGGCTTGCACCAGATGCCTCATCAAAACCCTGTGCTGAAATTCAAAACAGGGACTAGAAAAAAAAGTAGAACAATAAATTATATAATCATTTTTGCGGTGGTGGTTGCGAAGGGTGTGGACCGATTGGTTTTCTAATTTTCAGCACCCTGCCTGGTTTTTTTCAATATAAGCATCTTGCCTAAACATTAGCCATAAGGCATATTGTTTTTCTGGTTTCTGGCCGCATAAAAGATTATAGCATATGCAACAATTGCATACGACTATTTTTAATTTAAAGGGGTTGGCATTCCATCTTACTTACCCAGGAGATCAGAGGAGAGAATAGAAGAATTTTTTCTAGAAGCACATTCTAATACAAATAAGCACTATTAATTTAAAAATTCAACTCACAAATCTCGACGCCGAGGGCTGTAACTGCGGCTGCGAGATCTCCTGCGCCTGAAGTCCCGATCTCGGTCTCTATCTCTAAAGTCGCGATCTCTAGGCTCCCTTACTTCTCTAGTGTCCTGCTTTAAGTCTAATTTATCCCTTTCTCTATCTCTGATAATATCTCTTGCATCCCTAATACCATCTTTTGTCTCTCTAATCCCGTCTCGGGTGTCCTTTACACTATCTCTAGAATCCCTAATCCCATCTTTTGTGTCCCTATTGCCATCTCTTAAATCCCTATTGCCATCTCTTAAGTCCCTAATGCCTTCTCTTGAATCCTTGGTTCCATCTTTTGAGTCTCTTATCCCTTCTCTTGAATCCCTAATCCCATCTTTTGAATCCTTAATAATATCTCTAGCATCTCTAATCTCCTCCTTTGCATCCTTCACTCCATCTCGTGAATCTCGAAGACCATCTCTTGAATCCTTAATTCCATCCCTTGCATCTCTAAATCCTTCTCGTGTATCCCTAATCCCATCTCTTCCATCCCTAACTATATCTCTTGCATCACGAATCCCATCCCGTGAATCCCTAAACCTGTCTCTGGAATCCCTTATTCCTTCTCTGCTTCTGTCATCCTTCCAAGAGTCTCTACGATCCCGGGATAATTCCTCATCCCGCTCTTTATCCCTGGCATCGCGGGAAGTTGCTCGGGGTTCTCTCACTTCCCTGGGAGGGTCTTTTATGGTTCTAGATTCTCCTGTAGGTTCTTTAACGTTGGATAATGTAACTGTTGTTGAGATTTCAGGAGCTGTCACCGATGTATCTTTGTTCTCCTTGTCATCGGTTGTAGAAGAAATCTGAAATAGATATTTAAGATATACATATATATTTACACACACACACATACAAGGGGAAGTAAACAATTATCCACACTATTGACATCACTCATCTTGCATTGTCCAGTAACTTCTGTCATTGCTTTTTTATTATTATTATACTGTTGTGGTAATGCTATGAAAGTTTGATCCTAATTCTGCCATTTTTGTTCCTTCTGTCGCAGACAGATTATGGCCGCTCCATTAGAAGTCTGCATCAAAGAGGAACAACGAGCAGTGAAACAAATCCTCTGCTCAGAGGTTGTCAAAGATTGTCATTGTAGACTATCACAGCAATTAGGGGAAAGTGGACTATTAAAAAAAATGTGTTTTTGCAAATCAAGAAGTTTAGAAGTGCGCAAAAAATACCATTACAATCACAGAATATAGTAAACAATGACCACTGCAATCACAGAATACAGTGCATAAAGAAGATTACAATCATAGAATATAGTGTACAATGACCATTACAATCACAGAAGACAGTGTATAAGGACCATTACAATCACGGAATACAGTGCACAGTGACCATTACAATCACAGAATACAGTGCACAGTGACCATCAAAATCATGAAATATAGTGCAAAATGACCATTACAATCATGAAATATAGTGCAAAATGACCATTACAATCATGAAATATAGTGCAAAATGACCATTACAATCATGAAATATAGTGCACAATGACCATGACAATCATGGAATATAATGCACAGCGACTAGACAACAATTAATAAACACAGATTCAACACTCAACAGTGACATCACCCAGTCATGGCCAGGTATTTGGCTTACCTCAGACACTTTCTTCTTCTGCCCATCATCCTTCTCCTTGCCAGCCTGATGAGAGGGGCTTTTACTGTCGGCTTTGACTACAGCTATCGGTGGCGGAGGACGTGGCTTGGTCTCAGTGACAGGAGGGATGTAGATCTTGGTTTTGAGGACCTCAAACAGCTCATCGACAAATGGTTTCGTATCTGCGGATAATGGAAACATCGATAAGACCTTACTGTTATAAACAATAAATACGGATGGGTGGATTACCCTGGGTTAGGAGGCAGTGGATTAAGTCACTGCAGGGGTTGACTGTTCATGAAATCACCATCTCTGTCCCGGAGCATGCGGGCATTGCTGGCATAGAAACAGCTGACAGATTGACTGGCTGTGCTATAGTGGCAGTTGCTCAGCATATGGACCACAAATATATTGTTAATGCGAGAGAGAGAGAAGGGGGGGGGGGGGGGGGAACCTGTAGAGGATTCCGGGTGCAGTGTGTCCACATCACTGCTAAGAATGTGAGATCCTGGGAGTAAAAATTGGCACAGCCAGGAACGTGACACATACCAACATTTCAGATCAAACCATCAGGTAGGTTGCCTCTATGAACTTGCATGTCAGTAGCAGGTCCTTCATGGTCCCCCATAGCTTGCTCTGCATACTTTGCTCCTAAGGCTAGGTGTCTTTTTGAAGTTTTAAATAGAGTGGGTAGGTCTGCAGAATGTGCTCAGGTGTTTATGGTTCTGTCTGTCAGGCACATTGTGGTGACTGCACAATCTTGATTTTTTGCATGTGGGAGCTGAGCCATACAGATCGCAACCGTGTTGTCAGACGGTCACATAAAGTAATTTAATAACAATTATTGCAGAATATTTTTATTGTGGGCTGCAGGTGTGTTTGCAAAGGGCTGCAAGTGGCCTGCATATTGTTTGACATGCCTGAAATAGAGGATCACACACATCTCCCAATTGTACAAAATCATAAAGATGATCACTCACATGAGGACATGCACAGGATCACACTCAAAATCAAATGATCAAAGGATGAAGTGGGTGAGATGCACAAATGATCAAAGGATGAAGTGGGTGACATGCACAAATGATCACAGGATGAAGAGGGTGACATGCACAAATGATCAAAGGATGAAGTGGGTGACATGCACAAATGATCACAGGATGAAGTGGGTGACATGCACAAATGATCAAAAGGATGAAGTGGGTGACATGCACAAATGATCACAGGATGAAGTGGGTGACATGCACAAATGATCACAGGATGAAGTGGGTGACATGCACAAATGATCACAGGATGAAGTGGGTGACATGCACAAATGATGAAAGGATGAAGTGGGTGACATGCACAAATGATCACAGAATGAAGTGGGTGACATGCACAAATGATCACAGGATGAAGTGGGTGACATGCACAAATGATCACAGGATGAAGTGGGTGACATGCACAAATGATCACAGGATGAAGTGGGTGACATGCACAAATGATCACAGGATGAAGTGGGTGACATGCACAAATGATCACAGGATGAAGTGGGTGACATGCACAAATGATCACAGGATGAAGTGGGTGACATGCACAAATGATCACAGGATGAAGTGGGTGACATGCACAAATGATCACAGGATAAGTGGGTGACATGCACAAATGATCATAATGATCAAAAGGATGAAGTGGGTGACATGCACAAATGATCACAGGATGAAGTGGGTGACATGCACAAATGATCACAGGATGAAGTGGGTGACATGCACAAATGATCACAGGATGAAGTGGGTGACATGCACAAATGATCATAATGATCAAAAGGATGAAGTGGGTGACATGCACAAATGATCACAGGATGAAGTGGGTGACATGCACAAATGATCACAGGATGAAGTGGGTGACATGCACAAATGATCACAGGATGAAGTGGATGACATGCACAAATGATCACAGGATGAAGTGGATGACATGCACAAATGATCACAGGATGAAGTGGGTGACATGCACAAATGATCACAGGATGAAGTGGATGACATGCACAAATGATCACAGGATGAAGTGGATGACATGCACAAATGATCACAGGATGAAGTGGGTGACATGCACAAATGATCACAGGATGAAGTGGATGACATGCACAAATGATCACAGGATGAAGTGGATGACATGCACAAATGATCACAGGATGAAGTGGGTGACATGCACAAATGATCATAATGATCAAAAGGATGAAGTGGGTGACATGCACAAATGATCACAGGATGAAGTGGGTGACATGCACAAATGATCACAGGATGAAGTGGATGACATGCACAAATGATCACAGGATGAAGTGGGTGACATGCACAAATTATCATAATGATCAAAAGGATGAAGTGGGTGACATGCACAAATGATCACAGGATGAAGTGGGTGACATGCACAAATGATCACAGGATGAAGTGGGTGACATGCACAAATGATCATAATGATCAAAAGGATGAAGTGGGTGACATGCACAAATGATCACAGGATTTAGTGGGTGACATGCACAAATGATCACAGGATGAAGTGGATGACATGCACAAATGATCACAGGATGAAGTGGGTGACATGCACAAATGATCATAATGATCAAAAGGATGAAGAGGGTGACATGCACAAATGATCACAGGATGAAGTGGGTGACATGCACAAATGATCATAATGATCACAGGATGAAGAGGGTGACATGCACAAATGATCACAGGATGAAGTGGATGACATGCACAAATGATCACAGGATGAAGTGGGTGACATGCACAAATGATCATAATGATCACAGGATGAAGTGGATGACATGCACAAATGATCACAGGATGAAGTGGGTGACATGCACAAATGATCATAATGATCAAAAGGATGAAGAGGGTGACATGCACAAATGATCACAGGATGAAGAGGGTGACATGCACAAATGATCACAGGATGAAGAGGGTGACATGCACAAATGATGAAAGGATGAAGTGGATGACATGCACAAATGATGAAAGGATGAAGTGGATGACAGGGAATGATCCGAGAATGAAGTTAGGCACCATTACTTACTTTGTTGAAGAAACACATCCAGCTGATCAACACAAATATCCCGCAGGTCCTGCTCATGCTTGTCCTTTTTCACCAAGGCACAAACATACTTGGCAAGAGCACTGGGTTCAGCATCGCATCTGATGAATATAAACAGACACATTGACATTTCTAAACCATGTCTGTACTAATCAACTCACAGCACATCTATGGATTACCTTATACACAATACCTAGTTGTGAATCAAAAATTGTCATCTACACTATGGTTAAATGGTCATCGTCAGCATTGGAATATTATCAGGAAAAGCATTCAGCAACCAGCTGTACTCATTACAATGACAAGCTCACTGGAAAGTTGCAGCTTAAAGTCTCATAATCTAGGCACCTTGCGTCCATAAACAGATATGTGATGTAAATAGGAGCGACTCCGGACCTTGCGCATTGCGTTGGTTAAGTCGAACTTGTTTTGTAATATAAAAATATATCATGTTATTAATGCGTGTATAGAACCCTCCTGAGATCCAATCAAAGAACACACCCTTCTACGGTTCCCAAGGCTTTAACTTCCTGCAAGATGGCGTCCAAGATCACATGAAAGATCCACAATTTCAACCCCTTTCCCTCTTCTGGTACCAGGACTTGGGACTTCAAATTATTGCCCCCGACCTCACCATATAACGGTGACTTGTTAAACTGTCAATATGAATATGTATAAAGTATTATAAGTTTGGTGCTTTAACATGCTCCTCAACGCCTCATTTACCCTCCTTTATCTCCCTCTCTCTCTCTCTCCCTTTCCTCTCTCGATCTCCCTTTACAAATCCCTTAACCTAACGGTCTGGAAATTCAATTCTTAACTAACCAACTATCTACTTCACAATCTCCTACTAATACTAAGCCCGTGTAAAAATGTATATATTGTTTGCGCACACACTTGCACCACAAATACCCACACACGGCAACACATGCATAGAACACTGAACAAAATACGCACACCGCAGACGCCTGTATATTAAACACGTACAATACAGAAACCACGCAATCTTGAACACAGACCCACTTTAACATTCAATAAAATTGATTTAAAATTTAAAAAAAAAATTTTAAGTGTGGATGAAGCCCAGGGGATCCATATCCAAAGGCGTTGTGATCTTGCATGACAGTACACATCTTCACACCTCTGCCCACCCTGCAAACACTTTGTTTTGTGGTGTTTAAGGCATCCTACATATAGTCCTGATCTTGCTACACTTAATTTTTCCATCTATGGCTCCTAGACAGCAGCCTTTCAGGGAAGAAGAGTTACCTCAGATGAAGAAGTAAAGACGGTGGGGTAATCCTAGCTGACAGTTCAGCCTAAAACACTTTGAACCCTTTAGCCCCGCGAATGCTAAAAAAAAAAAAACCATAGTGATTTCTGAAGAAAATCTTTTTTTTAAATGATATATAAAAGATATATAAAGAATAAGAAGAAAAGAGTGAAACATTAAATTGAAGGCATTCTTTAGGGCTTAAAATAAATATGTAACAGGTGACTCATGCAGACCCTGTGACCTCTAACAGTAAGGCCTACGGGAGAATGTCAGCAGGTCAGTCTGGCTTTAAAAAGCTACTGGATTCCCACGGAAACCTATCTAAATGCTATATTTAGTTAATATATTAATATCTGGCCTACGAAACATTATGCTGGTGCACATAGAACCAATAGCATATTATGCTTTCTGAGAACAGTCCACAACAGAAATGGTGATATACTGGCATTTATAGGGGCTGTGATACAACCGGAAGTATCTTAGATTTAGCCTTCTCACGACAACAGGGTTAAATAAGTAGAATGCAAAAGTTTATTGACAGATGCACACAAGGTATTATAATGCAGGAAGATTATCTATAAAAAAAATTTTTTTCTAAAAGAATAGTCATCCTTCTTATGAAACCTTGTGGCTCAGTAACATATGCAGAACGAATGTAAACTTTCTGATGTAGACAATCAGTTCTCTTCACGAGTCAGTTTCTTTCAAGACATCTTCATTACTCTTTATCTGGATATTCTCATCATTCGTCTATAAAACAACATCTCCATAGCATCTAAATAATTATTTATTAATTTACCAACTGTCCGTGACGCACTTCCGTATATCAGGATAAGATTTATACAGCTTTTAAGAAGTCTTTTTTTCATCTCAACTGACAAGGAAAGATTGCATAAAATCTTCATTTTGTAAAATCTTGCCATTGCCTGAGCTATTCTACATTTAACTTCTTTAATATGTCCTCCATCTGATGTTATCAGGGTACCTGAGTACTTAAACATATCAACTTGCTTGAGGTTTGTTCCATTTACTTTGATTTTGCATTTCAGAGTGTCTGTTTTCTTTGTAATTACCAATACTTCTGTTTTTTGCTGTTCAAACTAAGACCCTTGTTCCGACTTTCCGTTACAATTGTGTCCATCATTTCTTGTAATGTTTTATTTTCAGCGATTAAAACTATATCGTCAGCATATCGCAAGTTGTTAACAATATTCCTACCAACCGATATTCGCAAACCATGTACAGATCTAAGTATTATTTCACTGTACAGATTTAATAATCGGGTGATAGTACACATCTCCGTCTAATGAACTGTTTAATGGCTGCTTCTTGTTGCCAGTATATGGTTTTTATTATACTCAGATCTACCATCAATGTTTAAGGTTTCCAAAATTCCAATAACTTAATGTTTCACTTTATCAAATTCTACAATATCATCAATAAAGCACAAATACAGGTCTCAGTTCATTTCAATCATTCTTTCTGAAAGTGTCCTCAAGATAAATATAGTGTTTATGCCTTACAGATGAGAATGATCCATGAACCAGAGCCCCAGCACAGAAAGATAATACTATACAGATGAGAATGGTCCATGGACCAGAGCCCCAGCACAGAAAGATAACTAATATTATACAGATGAGAATGATCCATGGGCCAGAGCCCCAGCTCAGAAAGATAACTAATACTACACAGATGAGATTCATCCATGGATTATATTAGGCCCGTGGGCCACCAGCTGAACAGCCCTGCTCTACGGTGAATTACAGATGGGTAGGAGAGAAAGAGGTTGAGCTCTACTATGATGTAGAGATATGTGCAAGCAGGGCATAAATGATACATCTGATGTAAAGATATGTGCAAGCAGGGCATAAATGATACATCTGATGTAGAGATATGTGCAAGCAGGGCATAAATGATACATCTGATGTAAAGATATGTGCAAGCAGGGCATAAATGATACATCTGATGTAAAGATATGTGCAAGCAGGGCATAAATGATACATTTGATGTAAAGATATGTGCAAGCAGGGCAAAAATGATACATCTGATGTAAAGATATGTGCAAGCAGGGCATGAATGATACATCTGATGTAAAGATATGTGCAAGCAGGGCATGAATGATACATTTGATGTAAAGATATGTGCAAGCAGGGCATGAATGATACATCTGATGTAAAGATATGTGCAAGCAGGGCATGAATGATACATCTGATGTAAAGATATGTGCAAGCAGGGCATGAGTGATACATCTGATGTAAAGATATGTGCAAGCAGGGCATGAATGATACATATGATGTAAAGATATGTGCAAGCAGGGCATGAATGATACATTTGATGTAAAGATATGTGCAAGCAGGGCATGAATTATACATTTGATGTAAAGATATGTGCAAGCAGGGCATGAATGATACAATCAGTAGGCAGGCCAAAACAATTTCTTGAGGCCTCAGAGATGTGGTTATTCAGAACAATGCTTAAAATACCTCTGGACAGCCAAAAAAAAGCAACCAAAAGATTCTGAAAGAGGCGGGAGCTCGAAGACAACTAATCATAGACACCAGAAAGAGACATCATTTTTCAGCCATGTTATGAGAAGAGGGAAAATGGAACGTGGTGACCACTAAAAAGATCTGTGGAAGGAGGGATAGAGGAAGACAACGAGAGAAGATTCTTGACAGTCTTGTTCCATGGCATTGAGGTGTGTCAGCAGACGAACTAATACATGCTGCAGGAGATCGCAAATTGTAGCGAGGCATATTCGCCCACGCCAGCCGGCAAGGCACATGATGAAGATTCGTATTCGGCCAAATAGTTGGCCCCGCTATTCGTATTCGGTCGAATAGTGAAAATCACTATTCGGTACAGCCCTAGCCTACTAGCGACATTGACAATTTCGAGACACACAACATTACAGACGATAATAGCGGCATGGTGGGGAGACTACGTGCTCCGACGCAGATTAGCGATAGTGTTCTCCCGGTTAAACTCACCGCCGAGCGTATTCCCCCACGCTGTTACGCACGGATGGGGATCCAAACTAGATGCCTAGGACTCACGAGCAAATAAATTGGAGGAAGTTGCAGGAGATGTGGTAGCTGCTGCTTGTGAGTCCCAGACATCTAGTTTAGCCCCCTATCCGTGCCACGCGTAGCGGCGTGGGGGATACTATCGGCGGTGCCGCATAGTCGCAAAAACAGTTCAGCAATTAACATATTGCTGAGACCCTGTTAGAGCATTTGTTTCGTTATTTGGAACCGATCCTACATTTGCCGCAATTTGTTCCTCTGCAGGAACTCCGCATTTTGCATAGGACTGAAGCCCTGTTAGGGTATTTGTTAGGCCGCTATAATATGGGGTAGAAGTTTGAAGGACAGCAAACTTTTTTTTTTCAAATTAGTCTGTCCATATTTTACATTTTAATTAAATTCACTCTTATCGATTCACAATTTTTACTTCAACAGCTACTCGGTAAATATGTAGTCAACTGGGTACTGTGTATCGATTAGTACAACAAAAATTAATGTTACTGAACTGATCATAATAATTCAAATTGAGCATTATTCGATCTCATATTTCAGATTTAGAATTTCACAGTAAAAACAATTTAGTACAAGTAGTACATATAATAGGCACTACAGTTTCGGAAATTTGCGATCTTTTCGACAATTTCCGTTATTATAGAAACTGTTTAAAACTTGTTTCGGAAATGTCGGCTGGGGTTTCGGGATGGGTCCTAATCTCTCATGAAATTTTGCCATTGGTGTGATTTTCACCCACTCTAAATAGCTGAAAACGGCGGGAAGGAACTCGATTAACAGCGCATGTCTACGAAACCGGACGTTCTCTGTTTGTCATCAGTTTGATTGAAAATAGCGGTAAATTCGAGGTTGGCTTTAGGCTTTAACTGTTACTGTACCTGGTAATGCTAGTTATAATTGAATTCTCCGTCCAATTTTACATTTGTGTATAAAAATAATTTTCTGGTACGTGGCTAGGTAGATGTACAGTGACATTTTTTAGGCAATCGCATGCGGCTGAGTGAGCTGAGTCTCATTGCCTGCCATCTTGTCCAATGACAGTCCAATGTCAACAAAGCCGATACAGAACTGCGCAGTAGGTTGCGCAGTGAAAAACTTCTTGTTTCTGGGTCACAAGTTTTAGCGGCTGTTTCTTACATCTCATCTCCACAAAAACCTACATAGCTCAGAAATGACATACAAGCCTGAATGAGGTACCATTGGAAAGAGATTGTTTACAGCTATCTAACTGTGCTGGTTTTATTGGTGTAGAGGGCATTTTTAAAATTTCACTGAAGTAGCTACATATAAAGTGACGCTGCTTGGGACAAACAAATAAACAAATATATATGATTATCTGTATCAGTTTATTAAGAGAATAGAACATGAACAAGATGAGTCTGTGAGAGTACTTTTAACACTGATCAGTTCAGTATTAGTATTACAGTGTATAAAATAGACGGGAGGCAGCAACAAGCTCCTACTTTTCTTTTACCCTAATTAACTTACATTGGAGATAGTTTATTAGTCAGCCACACTTTAAGGGCATCAACTTGCTCAATAATCATCCTTCTGGTAGAGTTAATGAGCAATATCCAAAGAAGTTAGGACTATGAAACGTCTTACAGCTTTCGTTCAGAGGAAAAAGCATGCACTTATTAAAGATGAGAAATATCGACGTTTAGTTCACACCGGAAGTCGGGAATCAACATGTCACTTGGTCTCGTTGCATAAAAATGTTGACCCCAATAAACAGATCTTTCTGGAAAAACATATATTTTCTGTCAGAAAACTGCAAAATTAAAATTATTTTATAACTAATACAATTAGTAATAAGATGGTTCTCTATATTTCGCAAAAAAATTATTATTTTGTTTGTAAATAACAGTAGGATTAAAAACAATTTATCCGTTTCTTTCAGTTAGAAATTTCACTTTGTACTTTTATTATCATCATCATGCTGCACTGTTACAAGAAAGTCATTCGCAAAACCTAACCAAATGCACCATATCAGCTCTCACGTACGTGTACCATCACTTACATCTGATATCTGTTTTTCTGTCTACGCCTATCTGTTGGTTAATCCCTGCTCTTTCTACCGAAACCATGCATCCTTTATTGTTCTTTCGAAACTAATCACCAGGCGATGCCGGCGTGGTGGGAAATGAATTGTCAGACAGATTGACTGGATCCGCATCACTGGGTGGTGTAATGATACATGACACGGCGGATGTGGTCAAGGGTCTTTGGGAACAAGCAACAGAATCAGTAGAAAAAGAAGATTATTATGGCCTGGAGAGAATGAGGCACCTGTAACCAGAGGGTCTGGCCGGCTCATTGCACTCAGAGGAAAAGCAAGACATACTATTAAACAAATTGTGACCGGTATCATCAGTATTGGAACTCTACGTTGGCTGCTGAAGATGAGGACGGGGCATGCATGGGAATGCCCCGAGTGCTGTGATGTCAATTCTTGACTCAACTCAACTCATCAAATCACCACAGAAGTAATTTAGTAATCACAGCTATCACAGTTAGTTTTTTTTTTTTTTTTTTTTCAAGTACATTTAAAATTAAAATATATTGAACTTAACAAACAATACTCATGGAGTCCATATTGAAGAAGAAATTATGGACATGATAACACAGCTCTTCCATGCTGTGTCATGGTACGGTCTGAGCAGAACATTCTCCACGCAGATTTTACTCACAATATGTGTTCTTGGATCAGAAACTTTCTCCCCCGGCATTAATGACATCTCGCCTGACTATTTCCAGAGCAGCTCTGATAGTCTGATTGTTCGTCGGATAATCTACACTTTAAATGCCCAGCATTAAGATAAAGGTTTGACTTGTCATTCGTGAAGCACATAATAACACCAACCATCCAGGGTCTAGGGTAAACCCAGAGAAGGTCTGTTTTGCGGTGCTCTTTGAATAACAGCATTGGGAAGGAAGACTTACCCAACATATCCATGAAGGGTATAAATGTTGAAAGAAGAGATAAGTTGAAATACTTAGGTTTGACTTGATCGCAGCTTGTCCTACAGATATCACGTGGAGCAGACTGTGATCAAATGCAAGCGTGGCCTGGCGGCACTGAAGACGATGGTGGCGACACACATGGAACATAAATTATTGGTCTTATTATTCAACCATTTGGTCCTTTCTGTAATCGATTATGGCCTAGGAATATTAACCCTATCTACTTCACAGTAAACAAAGCTTCATAAGATTTAAAATGAAGGAATGATAATCGTCTTGAGTTGCACACAGGACACATCAATTAGAACAATGAGGTATATGCTTGGGCTGACATCGGTCAAGTCTAGACCAGAGCTTTTCAACTAAGTTTACTAACGGGCCAAAATGTTGAAAATGTGGATTGTCGCGGGCCAGTGGCCCAAACCAAGTGTGGGAAGATTATCAACACTACAATCGAGAAAACTGTAGATGTGTAAATCTAATACACTCTTAGACGGTTACGCCCAGGCGCCATAGGGCCTAGCCTACGGTAATATAAATGAAACAGTATTGTAAACCATTATAATGTAAAATGAAAAAAATGTACTACAATCTTTTGTAATGATTTAAAAATACTCACTTTTAATTGAAATACACGTATTTCCAACTTGTTGTTTGAATAATAAATAAACGTTTTCATCGTCACTTCAATTGCATTGTCACAATAAAAATAGTAATGCAATTAATAATAACTGTCCCCAGTTCGTTTCATATGGCTTTGTACAGAAAAACCGAAAGCTATAATGGGGCAAAATGTAATTAATGGGAACAGTTGCATTTCCGTTTTTGAGCTAATTTTATAAAAATTTGGTTGGTGAGAAGACAGAGCAATTCTCATGCAATCCTGCAGCCTATCATTGCTCAGTGAGCTCTGACTGTTTGTCTTGATGACGTTTATATGTGAAAAGCTTGATTCGCAAGTGAAAGTTGAACCAAACATGGTGAGTATGAAAACGGCAACCTTTCTAGCATTAGGAAACTGCTCCTGTTGAATCGTTTCGGACCAGAACTTGGCGGTACCACTTTCTTGAAAACCTTCATTCAATGCGCTGGAACTTTGCATATCCACAAGTTCTAACTGCAGAGAACCTTCATCCACAGAAGGTAACAGCTTTTTAGCATTTGAAGAAAAATCACCCTCAGGGGGAATTTTAAAAGGATCTCGAACGAATAACGTTACATTGTTTGGGATACTGACGTCTTCAAATCTGTTGTTGAAATTGTTCTGAAGCTTTTTTAATAAATCTATCATTCGATTAGCTATGGTTGCTAAGTCCAGTGTTGAAGAAATAAAATACTTAAAGTTTGGGAAATGAAGAAGTTTGGCTGTTTGGAGATCCGTTACAAACAAAGGTGGCTTATCTCGAAAAGCGTTCAATTTTTCACCAGATCAATGATTGTCTTGTGTCTTCCTTGCAGTTGCAAGTTCAGTGTGTTCAAATGAGCAAACAGATCGTTTAAAAAGCAAATATTTGCAAAAAATGCACTGTCACGTAATACTTTCCTATACTTTTCTGCCTTATTATGAGAACAGTTTCCAAGAAAACATATTATTTCTTCTTTGATACTCCAAAAACGATCAAGTGCTTTTCCTTTACTCAGCCAACGAACGTCATTGTGCAGAAGTAAGTCTTTGTAATCTGCTTCCGTTTCTTCCAGTAACTGCCGAAATAACCTGTGCTGAAGACTTGATGAAGATCGAATGAAATTGATTATTTTCATCACCATATCCATTGTTTCCTTCATCTCGTCGCTCAGTTTGCTGCACAGAACACTTTGATGGATAAGACAATGTTGCGACTGCATCTGAGGTGCTACTGCAGAAAGTCTGGTGGTCACACCTTGGTACTTACCTAACATTAACGGCGCCCCGTCCGTTACCAAAGATACAACGAACAGCACTACTGCCCTAGAGCAAGAGGCAGACCGAGAGTTGTATCGATTGACAATATATCAGAGATCCTGAGGCAACACGGACTAACAACAACACGTGCAACACACCTGGCCCAGGATAGAAAACTGCGACTCCCCACTACACTGTGAGGCAATTGTGGACAAGACAAGACAAGACAAGACACATTCGTTGCATAGCAAGCATATTGGTTTCGAATTAGGCATTGTTGGTGATATAAATAAATATTTAAGTGTCCAGTCATTGTTGAACATACGAATTTCACATACCCATTTAGCTTTTTTACTAGTACCAGCCATGGCATCAAGTATGTCACTTAATTATTAAAATGTAGGTAACTGAAAACACTGTTACTGTTTCAGTTTGTTACTACACAATCGCGTTCGGCAGTCTGCGTCTGTCTGTGACTTGCACACTAGACGTTTACGAAATATCTTATTATAATCTAACAACAAATACACTAGCAGGTGTTCTGCGATGTCCAGTGTCACTAATGTTCTGCAGCACCCATTGTCATTAATCTTTGTTTACGAGTGGTCAACTTTAAGGGATAGTTCCTCGGTAATCTAAGCGCTAACTATCTGGACCGGGCTTGTATCTCCATACGCCTCCTGTCAAAAAAATATCCCACCTTCATTGACTGTCCGTGGAGCGACTGCTGCCTACGATGGTTACTTGATTCTTTCCAGCCTATCTTATTACCTTTGGCTCCAAACAGGCGAGTTCTGCTATTTCAAGTAACTTTTACCGTGAACTAATTACATTTCCATGCCTGCGACATTCCCGCAGTAGTGGTATTGTCTGTTCATACGCCCGTTCTCTTGTATCTTCGCATTTAGAGATCCCTGACAAACATTTCTTATTGTCACATTCGACACAACTGGTTTTTGAAGATTTATACAGAAACATTGATTGATTACATTTTTTAAATATACGACATTTCAGTGGCAACGATCGGCGGGCCACTTGCTAGGTCTCCGCGGGCCAGATTTGACCCGCGGGCCGCCAGTTGAATAGTCCTGGTCTAGACTGTCACTATGGGAGTTACCAATGACGAAATGCATCCGCTGCATGGTAATTTGAACGATTAAAGAGAAGCCCTGTTGAAAAGAGGAAAGTCATGGATGGCACTAGCTGAAGATACCATCGAGACGGCGGCCTCAGTCAAGCAAATACACACGGAGCAGAAATGGATCGACACGAACACCCACAATAGCAGTTTCTTCAAGTCATTATCACGTTAGGAAGAAAATATAGAGCGTGGTGTTATGGGATGGCAGAATTAGAGATACAACAACTGATAGATGAAAAGACTAGGCTAAATGATGCAGTAGTGCTCACCAATAGTTCTGTTCATCGGGGTGTAAGATCTGGCTAGGGGTTTTCAGCTAGAATGAAGTGGGAAAAAGTGTGGCAGAACAAAATGGAGATTTTTTTTTTTTAATCCACAACTTTAAGCATGAGAATGGAAGGGGAGGCAATCACTTCAGATCTGAAGTGGATAGCAGAAAACAGAGTTACCAGAGGAATTATTGTGTCTCATTCTCAGTTGGCATTGTGGAAGGTTCAGAATGGACAAATGGGGCAAGAGTGGATACCATGCAACAGCAAGCTAACATTGCAGGGAATAAC